AAGAACTCACAAATCTTAACACCAAGAAAACAAATTACCCAATCAATAAATGGGCTAAGGAACAGAACAGACACTTCTCAGAAGAAGATATACAATCGACCAATAAATATATGAAAAAATGTTCAACATCTTTAGTAATTAGAGAAATGCAAATCAAAACTGCTCTAAGATTTCATCTCACCCCAATCAGAATGGTAACCATCAAGAATATAAACAATAAATGTTGGTGAGGATGTGGGGGAAAAAGGCACACTCATACATTGCTGGTGGGTATGCAAATTGGTGCATCCACTCTGGAAAACAGTATGAAAATTCCTTAGAAAACTTGGAATGGAACCACCATTTCACCCAGCTATCCCACTCCTCAGTCTATACCCAAAGGACTAGAAATTTTAGCATACTACAGGGACACAGCCACCTCAATGTTTACAGGAGCTCAATTCACAATAGCTAAACTGTGGAACCAACCTAGATGCCCTTCAACAGATGAATGGATAAAGAGACTGTGGTATATATACACAATGGAATATTAGTCAGCTTTAAAAGAGAATAAAATTATGGCATTTGCAGGTAAATGGGCAGAGATGGAGAATATCATGCAAAGCAAAGTTAGCTAATCCTAAAAAACCAAAGGCCAAGTATTTTCTCTGATAGTGGATGCTGATCCAAATTGGGAAGTGAGGGTTATGGGAAGAATGGAGGAATTTTGGGTAGGGCAAAGGGGAGTATGGGGAGAGTAGGGGACAAGGGGGTAGGAAAGATGGTGGAATGAGATGCACATCATTACCCTAGGCACATGTACAATGGCACGAATGGTGTGATTCTACTTCATGTACAACCAGAGAAGAGAAAGCTATATCCATCTGTGTACAATGAATTGAAATTCATTCTACTGTCATGTATAACTAATTAGAACAAATTAAAAAAAAAAAAAAAAGAAGAGGGAGCTTATTTAAAGGGCTGGGCAAACTGTACTGGATACTCAAGTACATGACCAAAGTGGCATTTCAAGTCACTGGGCAAAGACGGACATTTTTCTTTTTTCTTTTTTTTAATGTGGTGCCAGGGATCAAACCCAGTGCCTCACACGTGCTAGGCAAGTGCTCTGCCACTGAGCCACACCCTGACCCGTTTTGTGTGTGTGTGTGTGTGTGTGTGTGGTGCTGGGGATTGAACCCAGAGCCTTGTGCATGGGAGGCAAGCACTTTACCAACTGAGCTATGTCCCCAGCCCTGCAAAGATGGACTTTTTGATAAATGAGACAACTGGGTGGCCCATCCAGAAGACGAAATTTGGTTCATACTTCACACTGCATGCAAGAGTAAACTCCAGACAGACCACGGGTTTGGGAGTAGGCAGAGGAAAGCATGGTGAGCCCGGGAAGGCTCTCTGCCACACCCCCAGACATGTGAAGCAGACGCCTCTGACTATGGTGAACACCCTTCACAGCAATGAAAGCAAAGGAGAAAGGCCACAACCAGTTGGGAGACTCGGGGCTCTTTAAAAGGCCCAGAGGGCTGCGGTGCAGCTCAGCGATGGAGCTCTTGCCTGGCACGTGTAAGGCCTGAGCTCCACCCCCACATGGCAGAGAAATGAAACGAAATGAAATGAAAAGGACCAGAATATGATAAAAATGGGAAGAGACATGATCAAACCCATCACAAAAGGTACAAGGATGGGCCTCAAACATATGAGTGGTGTTGGACTCACTCATAATTAGAGAAGCGTAAAAGAACACACCTCTGAGACATCATTTCCCCCTTATCAGCCAGTGGCAGTCCTCACATGACAACGTGGCGTTGGCAGGCTGCGGGAAGCAGGCAGACCTGGGGCTGCTGGCGGGATGCAAACTGAGGGCAAACAGTAATCCCTAACAACGCTACAAATGCCCTCCCTTTGGACTCAGCAATTCTACTTCCAGGTGTCTGCCCTGAAGGTGCAGTTCCTATGATATGAAAACACACAGGCAGGGCCATCTGTGAGTCCTGTTTGAAGTTGGAAGACACTGAAACCAATTTCATAAGAAAATGGTAGAGAATCTGCTCTGTGGAGTACTATGCAACAGTGAAAATGAATAGTAAGCTCTCTGCCCTGATAAAGAGGAATTTCCAGGATAAAGTGAAAACAAAACAATTGCAAAGCAACCCAAGTACACCAAAGTACAAGGGGAGATGCTTAGTAGACGACCCTTGATGTAAGAAAGAGGATGTAAGAAAAAGTGCACACATTTGCTTAGATGTGCAAAAGAAATACAGGAAGGAAACACCAGGAACGAATGAGCTGCTTGCCCACAGGAAGTGGTAAGGATAGAGAAATGGGAGGGGTAGTAGTGGGGAGGAGGGACAGTTCTCTAAACACTCGCTTCAGTAGAGCTGACCTCAGCCACAATGTGAGGGTCAGTCTTATAAGTCAACTTGGCCAGGCTCTAGGACCCAGGCACTCAAACACTAGCCGAGGCACGGCAGTGGGGTCATTTTGAGATGTGGCGGACATCTGCAATCAGGGGACTCAGCCAAGGTTCATGCTCACCCGCCAGCTGAAGGGTCTAGGGCAGGTTTAGGGATTCTGCCTGGAGATGCGGTGTCGGCCTCCGCATCTGCTCCATCTGTGGGCCTGCAGAGCCCGCGAACCGTGAGGGGGTCCGGGAGGCACCTTGTTCTGCCTAGCCACCTGCCACCCCAGGTGGAAGGGGGTCGCCCCGCTGCCTTCTGCACTTGTAAGTTCCACTGGTTCCACCCAAACTGGCCCCTAAATTCCATTCTCCAATAAAATCGCAGGCTCCTGGGAGGAGGGTGTGATTCCAGGGCTGAGGCAGGGAGAGGAAGAGGTCAGCCCAGGACATTTCCTGGTACCAGGAAGAGGAAGTGCTCAAAGGAGGCCTGGCTGAAAGGGCACAAAGTCAACATGAAGGTCCTGAAGTGGCCCAAGCTGGGACCCCTTAAGGGGCCTTTTGATTTCCATGGACCCACCTGGGTAGTCCATGATCTGCCATGTCAGGGTCACCTGACCGACCAGCATCCTGGATTACACCCTGTGGTGTGTGACGCGACAGACTCACAGGTCCCAGCATCCGGAGGTGGACATCTCAGAGGAACATCATGATTTGCCACAGGCCCCGGGACTGACAGGGCAGAGCTGACTTGCTGAGGAGCAACTGTGGAGTGGATTTTTGCTGCTTGGTTCCTAAATTGTCTTTATTTTCTTTGCAAATAAAGTAAATTTTGCAATAGCTGTGCCCTCTTTTGTGCCCAGGTGTGCACCGCCAGGCTCCAGTGTGGGTGCGCTCTGCTGGCCTGAGTGCGGCTTTTCCCTCTGTGTCCAAGCACCGTCCGAGACCACCTGTGGCAGCCTCCGTGTGCAATGACCTAGCACTGCCACTTCTTACAGGATGATGCTGGCGTCCCCTGCCGTCTCCGCGAGGCTCCGGTTTGTAAGCCTGCACAGATCAATGACTGCTGCACAGAGCAGGCAGTGTGTGTCTCTCTGGGGCTCCTAGTGGGTCACCCCGGATAATGATAAATACCATCTTTAACTTAAATACAAAGTACTTGGCTGAGGCAGAAAGCCAACTGGCCAGGAGACAGGCTGTGCTGTCGTTTTTAACCACCTCTCTCCTCTCAGCTTCCAACTCCTAATTCATTCCTCAGCTTAGAAAATGAAACCCAAAGTCTCCAAGGGGCCTGGAGAATGCAGTTTAAGGTGAGGTGAGGAGCCCGGCCGCTCTGGCCCCTCTGCGCTGGCGGCAGCACTCTCTACACCTGAGTTCCAGCAGAGGCCTGGAGCGTGTGTGCAGCTCTGAGGCCCACGCTGCTCTCCTGTGTCCACCTCGTGCATCCTGACTGCTTTCTTTCCTGCTTCTGAGGTCCAGACTCACTCCAACAGGTGAGAACTGAGTACAGACTCTGCTGGGCTCAGTGAAGGCCCCCAGGGGTGAAGGAGATGGCTCTGTCCGTGGACAGCTGGGAGAGGGAAAGACGGGGGCCCACTCTGCCTGACTTCATAAGAGAAAGAGGCTGACGGGCTCCATGACAGGGAGAGGCCGGAATCTCAGCTCAGAGGAGCAACACAGCCCCCACCTCCTGGCCTCCGCGGACGGAAGACGCGCCCTGGGTGTTCACCCCCTGCTCACTCCAGCCTGTGCCCCCACCCCTGAGGAGTTGTCAGCTCGGGTGAAGGACTTCCAATCTCCTGGACTTGCCCAGTGCCCACCAGGAATCCCAGGGTGTCCTGGGTCCTTAGAAACCAACCACATGTGCTCCTTCTGGATGACACCGGCTCCACCTCCCTTCCACAAAGACTCTCCTAGGCCTCCGCTCTGAGCTTCTGGCCTCCATGGCGGGTCCCCAGCTTCCTGGTTTCTCTCATACCTCAGGGGCTGGCGGAAAGTGTCCATCATCTGAGAGGCCTTGGGAGGCAGCGAGCGAGCGTGTGAGGGCTGGACGAACAAGAGTCTTTTGGTAGGAGGGCCAGGCCACAAAGAGGAAGAGCTCAGCGAGAGCCGCCCTCTAGTGATGGTCTGACCCAGCCTTCAGGAAAGCTCTGAGCCTGAACAGGATGGTGTCCCAGGGGGCGGGCGGGAAGGACAGACTTGGGCTGATGACAGGGACCGAAGGAACCAGTGGAAGTCCCTGCAAGACTCGCTCCTACCACAAGACTCAGTCGCTCAGGGCCCAGGCCCTGAACTAGGCTCAGCTGTGCCTGGACCCCTGTACTCAGATGGCCACAAGCATCCCCAGCCTGATCTGAACACTGCATCTCCTACTGCCCCAGCACCCGCAGCCTCCCTAGCACCCGCAGCCTCTTCCCACCCTCACTGTTCATGCCCACCCTCCCCCAGGGCCCTCCTTTGTCCTTAATGCCGTCATCCCATATGCTGGGGAGGAACCACTCACTTCTCCCCAGCCCCTGTGGCCTGTAGAGGAACCTCCCACCGGGTTCTGCAGCAAGAGGGTAGGTACCTGGCCCAGCCACAACTCCAGCACCCGCAGTGCAGGACTCACCGGACGGTCTTGTCCCAGTCGCACCACAGATCCTTCCCGAGGGCCTCCATGTCCTCCTGGAAGCGGGTCAGGCAGCGCTTCTGGATGAGGGCGCTAAAGTTGGCATCCTGGCAGGCGGAGACCAGGAGGACCTGGTGCACTGTAACACAGGGAGCCAGGATGTCACGGCCAGCCTCCCGCCTGCCTGCAACAGCCCCTCCCACCACATGCTCACCCCAGGCTACCCGAGCCCCGCCCACCAGTGTGCCCTTGGATGTGGAGTGATCATGCAGAGTGCTCCCTGGAGGGGGCTATGGCTTTCATTGGGTTCTCGCCTCAATTCCTTTGTGTCCCTGCAGAGGCCCTGCCTACTAACAGCATGGCCCCATGATGCCCTCAGTGGCACTTACTGCTGCTGGTGACAACTGCCACTTGTCCCAAGAAGGCCACAGTGCTGATGCCAGGCTATGGGTACTGGTGTGTCACACTAGACAATTCCACCCTTAAACCCGTGGAAACTGAGGCAGTGAGAACTCACAGGGACTGGACCCAGGCCTGCTGGCTCATGTGCCACCGTGCGGATCTGCAATGCCACCAGGTAGCTCCCCAGGCAGAAGAGGAAGGAGCCAGTCCTGCTCCCTGGAGAGGCCATAGGAGAGCCGACCCTGTCCAGACTGGTGCCTGGGGTCGTGCTGAACTACCCAGCTGAGGCCCTGGACATCCCGTGTCTGCTGTTTGCTGACCGCAGACCACGGGGGCAAGCTGAGTGAACTGTGCTTTACCCGCACCTTAGAACATGGCACCCATGCTCACCTGTCCAGAGATACACTGAATAAAATCAAAACTCACCCGCCTCCCAGAGCTCACCATTGGCTCTGGTGAGCAAGGGGTTTTTCTCTGTGGCCCCCATCTGCCCATCCACCGGGCTGGACATCCATTCTCTTGGCCTCTCTAAGGGGCAGCTGGGTGGGATCCCTGCATTCCCTGTCCGGCATCTGGCTGCTGGAAGGCCGCAGCTGCGAGCTAGAAGGGAGTGCTGATGGGATGGAGAAGCCTGGGCACAGCAGGGTTTGGGGCCAGCTCCCGAGGAGCAGGGCCGAGGGTCTGGAGAGGCCATGTGCCCCTGCCTGACAGAAGGGAAGAAGACAAGCTGGGGAGCTCAGGGCATCCATGTGGGCTGGAAGCCCGCTGGGCACAGTGGCCACGACAGGAAACTGGGAGTGCCATCACTGAAGCCACCCTCACATGTGCTTTGCCTGGCTCCTCAGGGTCTCAGGAGAGGGGTCTGGCAGGGACCAGTGAGCCCGGCCAGTAACGTATCACAGTGGCTTTCATAGCAACAAAAAGGAAACCCTGTCTCTAATTAAAAATAAAAACCCAACACAAAATGCAAGCCCCACAAAACAGTATGTGGAGGTGGTGGGAAGCCTGGGGTGACCCCGGGTGTGGTCACGCCAGTCTCTGCTTCGCTGGGACGTCCTCATGGGCATCGATGTCCAACAGGCCTGGGTGGGAGCAGGACACCCTGGTTTCCCTTGGGGGCACTGTTTTAGGGAAGGATACACGGGAATATGCTTGGACAGTGGGCTGGACAGGTGGGGAGACTGGGTGCCTCAAGAGCAGAGGGCACCCTGGTCAGAAGGAGGGTTGGAGTCTGGAGACCAGGTTTCTAAGAGCCGGGAGACTCCAGGGACTTTGGAGAGCAGCTGTGGAGAACTGGTGGTAGGGACGTCCCAAGGAAAGGCTGGCTCGCACATCCGAGAAGCCCCTGGAGGAGCTCCAGGGGAAAGGCTCCAGTGTCCAGCCCTGGACACCAGGGAGACCTGCCTACTCTCAGCACAAGACCCTCCACTAGAAGGTGGGGTTATGGAAGAAGACTGCCGGGGGGCCGCTAGCCCCTCACCCCAGGTGGCACCTGCCCTACAAAAGCTCAGAGGGCAGAGCAGCCTCTCCCCCAGCTTCTCTGAAAGCCTCTCTACCCACCTAAGCTCATGCCAGCAGGTATGTCCCCCAGTGTCCGCACCAACACACTGAGCACACCTGGGGACTAGCTGGGCCAGCTGTGAACACACCTACTATCCTAGGGACTCATAATTATGCCCAGAGTCAGGGCAGACTTGGGGCAGGGGCCGCTTCCCACACCTGTCCCATCAGGACCCCCTGTGGGCTATAGAGAGGTGAGCACAGGGACATACAGAGGGCTCAAATAGGGCTCATTGAGGAATTCCATGTCTCCCATCCAATCTCATGCAAGGGTTGAGGCTCCTCCCCATTTGTCCCCACCCCTGCCTGTGCTGCCACCTGGAACACCTTTCCCTGGTAAACCTTGTGCCCCAATCTGACCTGTTCCTCCAGGGCTCCTCTAACTGCCCCCAGTTGCAGGAAGCCACCCTCCCTGTGCCCCAGCCACTTCCTGGGCACTCAGGTGGAACGTGCAGAGCAGTTTTTCCCTCTGAGAACCACTTTCACCGCCCTCGCCTCCCACTCCTTTCTGACTCACGCAGACGTCATCCTCCTGGCACCCGGCAGATTGTCAAATGAACCAACAAGTGCCCGAGACAGCCACACCCGGCTGTCAGCGGGGGTGCTTCGTGAGGCGAAGCCAGGGTGCCAAGTTCAAGGGACAGGCTGGGCATGGGAGGGTCACAGGTTGCTATGGTCTCCTCTCCTGTTCTGGAAGAGTGGCTGTTGGGACCAGGGAAGGTAAACGTGCATGGATGATGTGGCCCAGGCAGGGCTCTGGGTGACATGGAAGAAACCAGCATGGGCTGACACTAGCTGTGGAGGACCTGTTTTAGGAATCCCGGTGGTTGCACAAGTGTCCTGCAAAGCCAGTCCCCAGGGGGAGGCGGTGATGCCTCCTCTGTGGGGGAGGGGGGTCCCCAGCAGGTAAAGGGAAGGCACATGCTGGGGGACGGGACTGACACTGTCCTCTCAGCCTGGTTGGGATGCATTCTCAGGGGCGTGTCCTCCTTCTGCAATTCTCCCTGTCACAGTGTCCCTCTCTGTCATTTTCAGGTCGTCTCCACTGCTGTCCTCTGGGCTGCAGAGCATGGCCATCTGGCCCCACATCACCCTCTCCTGCAGCCTCCAGGGTGGCAGCTCCAGCTCCCACCATGTGTGCAAACCCCACCCTGGTCTGGCTGCAAGGTCAACCCTGCTTCTGCCCTGTCTCCAACCGGTTCTTTGCTTCTCAAGGGTGGGATCTGCAGGGCCCAGCTCCATCCATGCCCCTGCTCTTTGGGAATGGAGACCCCACCCCCACACACACTGCCCTTTCTTTCCTGTCCTGGGGGAGCCCAGAGCCTTCAAGTGGAATGAGGCCTGGGCAGCTACGCAGGCAAATCTGGAAGCAGTTTCAGTTTTCAGGTACCAGGCAACAGCGCTTGGGTTTTTCTTAAAAGTTCCTTTCACTGGAGGGAGGGGCAACATTATGGTTTTAAAGGAGAACAATTTTAAATTAGCTGTTGGGGCTGAATGGGTTCTTTCCTCTTTCTGACTACAAATGTAACCTTCATGATTCACATCCAAAGTCCCTGGTGCTGAGGCTTCCCCAAAGGTGGCCTTCCTCCCCCACAGCACAAGACAGGAAAGTCCTTTAGGTGGTGCATGATTTAGGAAGTGGAGTCTGGCTCTGTCTCTCTGTAGCAGGAAAGGCTCCTTCAATGAGCACAAATAGCAGCCACACCAACAGGCTGGGGGGATCCCCAAGCCCAGCCCAGGAGTGGCAGAGCAGCTGCAATCCCCCACAACTGCCTCAGAACACACGGGAGACATGAGGTGGCAGCTTCAGCATCACAGATCCCCACAGTGGCTCTCAGTCTGTGGCGATCCATGTCTGTACAGGGCTGAGCCTGCAGGAGATGGGTGAAGCAAGGGTCACTGACACCCGGATACCTGGAAAGTCATCCTCAGGCTGAGTCATCCCAGGCTCAGAGCCACTGGACACCAGGGGAGTGGCCTGAGGGGGTGAGTAGGCGACTCCTGCCAAGGAGCCTTGCTTGAAGAACACAGGGCTGCACCCTCTCCGGCACCAGACCCTCCAGGGAGCACCTTCTCTCCAGGTTGGTGCAGCCCCAGGTCCACATCTCCCACTGGAGGCCGCGGTACCCTAAGGCGTCCCTGCCCCTCTCCTAGAGGGCAGGTGTCTCTGCAGTGGGCTGGGCTGCCCGTCTTTTAGAGAAGCTTGTTTGTACACATTTTATAGGCCACAGTGCAGAGGACCAGGTGTGTAATTAATTTATAATAATCAACCTGCTGCCCCAGGAGGAGCAGGTCCAGAGATTTTGCTGGAGGTTGCAGGACCCACTGAGCCTGGGGATGACTCTTCCAGGATTAAAGTGCCTAGGGCCCAAAGGGGTTGGTGGAGGGCCCTAGAGCTCCCAGCCCATCTGAGCAGGAAAGTGCCCCCCCCCCAAGAGGCTCTTTGTGTGTGTGTATGTGTGCACATGCAATGTGGTGGGTGTGTCTGTGGCGTGTGCAGAGGGTTCCTTAGGCCCACGATCTTCCTCGGTGGCCTCAGGGTCTCTGCACCAGCCCACATCTTAATCACATACCCTGCTGTCCCTCCACCATGTGGCTGCTGGAGTACTCCGGGCCGACGAAACCTGGAATACGGGGGAAGTGCTCAGTCACCCTGGTGCTCCTTGCCAGGCTTCTGCTGTCATGCTTCTTCCACTTGGAATTTAACATCCTCTACAGCAACCCCCCTCAACCTCTGAGCTTCCCTCTCACTGTCTCAGTCTGGTCAGAGCCCTCCCTCTCCAAGAGCTCAGCTGGCCCCTGCCCCAGGTGTTCTCTTCCGGCAAGAATCTCCTGGGCTGAGACCCTCCACCCACCCACCCTCCAACACACTCTGAGCAGCCTGGGAGGGGCAATGCAGGGAGGAGGGAACAGGTCCTCCTGGGCCCAGGTCCTTTTCTTCCTGTTCTAGTAGCTGCTAGTCCTCAGGATGCCAAGCAGATTCATCTCCTGTCACTTTTTTTTTTTTTAAATATTATTTTAGTTGTAGATGGACATAATACCTTTATTTTTAAAATTTTTTATTTGGTGTTGAGGATCAAACCCAGTGCTTCACACATGCGAGTCGAGCGTCTACTACTGAGCCCCAGCCCCAGCCCATCCTGTCACTGGTTTTGACCCTCTGGTTCCAGCCCATTGTCCCACTGCCACCCTTCCCCACTTAAGTGCCTGCTCTGTGCTGGATGTGGGGTTCCTGTGCACATTTGTTGGCTCTGTGTTATGTCCTTGACCCCCACCCGCTCCCGCTGGACTGCACTGGCCCTTCTAAATCCTGTTTGGATTAGTGTGGAGGCCTCTACTACTGGCAACCTGGTGACAGGCGCAGCCACACACACAAGCCCCGCCCCCCTCCTGCTGCCAGCCTTGGTCCTGCCCACAACCACCTCTCACTACATTCTACCCACTCAACAGCTGCTGTTCATCTCTGAATTTGACGAGACAAGAAATAGTCATGTTTAAGGCATAAAACACAAGTTTAAACAGACTGTCTACCACAAGGAACAAGAAAATATAGACCTCAGAAAAAAGATAGGAATCCCCCTGGAAGTATTTGAGAACAGAAAATAGAAAAGATGTCAGAATAAACTCCACCAATATTCCTCAAAGCCAGAAGGCCAGTGATCAACCACCAAGTGCCAGCTGTGTGCCAGACTCAGGAATCCCAGGACTAGGGGATGGCGACCTCAGGCCTCTTCATCCCACAGAGGAGCAGCAGCTGGGAGACAGGGAGTGGCCTGCCCAAGATCACCGGCCCTGAGGGCAGGCACAGGGATGCAGGCAAATGACTTTAAGTGTGCTCTGAATCCTCCAGAAAACCAGAGGTCAGACTAGGGCAAAGAGCCAGGTACTCAGCACAACATACAAAAGGCAGTCAGGGAGACGTCAGACAAACAGGAGACCAAGGACCCTAAGGCCCAATATTGTCCCTGACAAAGTTAAATCCCACTACAGAGCAGCTAATGGTACCTCACACTGGTCAGGATGGCTGCTGTGAAAAACAAAAACAAAAAGAAATCCAGAAAATAGCCACTGTTGGACAGGATATGGAGAAACTAGAAGCCTTGTGTGCTGCTGATGGGAATGTCAACAGCTGGCTGTGGTGGAAAACAATATGGTGGTCCCTCAAAAAATTAAACACAGAACTACCACAAGCCCAGCAGTCTCACTTCTGGATAAATACCAGGAAGAACTGAAAGCAGGACACTCCAGTGTTCACTGGCAGACAAACAGTTAAACAAAATGTGGTCTTCCCATACAACAGAATACCATTTGACCTTCAAAAAAGGAAATCCTGACACATGCTACAACATGGATGAATCAAGGACATTTTGCTAGTGTAATAAGCTAATCGCTGAAGGTCAAATACTATATGATTCTGCTTGATGAGGTACCAAGTAGCTGAAGGCACAGAGAAGAAAAGGAGAATGGTGGTTGCCAGGGATTGTGGGGGACAGGGAACTACTGTTTAATGGGAACAGTTCCACTTCTGCAAGATGAGAAGAGTTCTGGTGAAGGATGGGTGACTGTGCGACATCAGGAATGGATCTAATACCACTTCACTGTATACTCAAAAATGGCAAGTCTTTGGGATGTGTATACTGGTACAAGTAAATACAAAATGACATTTAAAAAACAATGAGTGGGACAGAGACAGCTACTTTGTAAGAAGTCCCATGCAGTTGTGACTGGCAGTGCTTAGTGCATGGGTTCCCCACGTGTCCCCTGCACACAGGGGCACAGCCAAAGGGAAACCAGATTCCAGAGGGAGGAGTCTCAGCATGACTCACAGATCTGGATGAGGAAAGTAAATAGGGTGCAGAGGACTGGAGTCCTCCAATTTAACACAAGGACTGGAACCAACATAGACAAATGCCATCTAGGCCAAAGGAACCCTCAGTACCTGCTGAGCAGTGGTCCTAATCCACGATCTGTTCCCTGACCACAGTACAATAAACCCAGCAATGATTGCTGGGGTGTGGGGGGATCCCAAAAGCCTGAGCCAATGGGATTTCTAAAAACCCAATACCAAAAAGTCCAGAAACCGCAAACACAGAAATTCCAGAAAATATCCACAATTAGCACAAGACAGACAGACAGACAGACTCAGGGGTTCAGCCAAAATGCCAAGCAAAGGACTGAGCACACTCCCTCCTAGACCAGAAAGCACAGGATGAGGGGAGCAGGGAAAAGCAGAGTAAGTAAACTTAAGAACTTGTTCCTTTGAGGGGAGGGATATTAATGATATTGACCACTGTTCATTCTGATCAAGAAATAACATCAAAATACCAATTTGCAGAACTGGATTGAAAAAAACGCAGATAGCCACAAAGTAGAGGGAATTAGAAAATAAGGACGTCATCTTGAGAGGCTCCTCAACTTGCAATGGGGCCACATCCTGACGACCTCATCCAAGCTAAAATGACTCCAGGTGGAAAGACACACAACGCTCCTGCCCGTGGAATGGCCTGGCGAAGCCATAAGGCATACCTGATGGTGACAACTGTTCCCACTATTGATCATGAGCTGCCTGAGAGCTGTGCTTGCTGCTGCCGCCCAGCACTGCAGAAGCCGGGGCTGCTCATCTAGCCTGGGAAAGGCCCAAATGCAAAATTCGAAGTGTTGTCTAGGAAATGCAGATCACTTCTGCATCATTGTAAAATGGAAAAAGTTTAAACCATAAGTCAGGAACCGCTAGACAATGATATGTTCAATAAAATGGACAAGTTCATAGGCAAGCAAAACATAAAGCAACCTCAATGCATAAGAAGATACAGATATCCTAAGCAGACCTAAGGCCATGAAAGATGGCCATATTCTTTAAATCATCTCTAGATGACTCATTACCTAATGCAGAGTAGACGCTGTGTAAATAATTGTTACACCATACTGATTAGGGAATAATGATGAGAAAAAGCCTGCAAATGTTTGGTACAGATGCAATTAAAAACACCATGAGGTTAGTTGTGGCAGAGGCAGAGCGAGGATGCGGAGGGCTGTTTATGTGGCGCAGGTTTCACTGGGTGGGCACTGTGGACGTCTGATGCCAATCACCTTGTTGCAGAGTGCTGTCCTGTGCTCTGTAGGGCAGCCTCAATAGGTTGCTTAGCAGCACCCAGGGCTTCTAGCCTTCCCTGCCATGACACAGTGTAACTACCTGTGCAGTGTGACAGGTGGAAGGTACCAGAAGTTTGGCTCTTTTCCTGTCACTCCCTCCTCCAGCTGCCTAGCCGGCAGCCATTTTCATTCAGCAATGACTCATCATCTGGTACCAGTGAGACTCATGCCTCACACACCAACCTGGAGCCTTAGTCACCAAATTGCTGTTTAAGGGACTGTGCGTTCTGGGTCTCTTCCCCCACCACTGGGGGCTTTGCTCTGTGAAAACAAGAGCTGCTTTTAATCCTCACAGTACCACAGGCATGATTATGCAAATATGTATCTGGTTGGGTAAACTGCTGACCTCCCCTTCCCAGAATCTGGCTCAGGATAACCCTTCCAACAGTGTGTGTGTGTGCGTGCGTGCGTGCGTGCGTGCGTGCGTGTGTGTGGGGGGTCTAGGTCAGCACTGCCCAGGTCAGCTGTACTCCAGTGTCTGAGGGAGGGAGGGAGGGAGGCAGGCAGCCCCAGGCCATGGCTAGGCTACTCTGCCTCCCTGCCCCAATGGTTTCACAAACTCTCCACTAACTTGCTGACCTGAGAGTCCAGGTGAAGGGGGTTCAAGCTGGCATACGTTGGGGGGCAGTGCCCGTATGGCCTGATGAGGTCTTTGGCAGGTGTGCAGGGGTCAGAGAAGTGGGCTACCCTTTCTAGCAGTGGAGGGTAGGGAAGGGGGAGAGAGGTGCTGTTGGAGCAAAATGAGCAGCCCTGTGATTCCTAATGGGGACTGCACTGACAATGATGCTCAGGCTTGCAGGGTCCTGTGTGGTCCTTAATGTGTCTCCCTGGCTCCTGCTCTGGCAAAGTGGCTCAGAAGCTGTGACTTACATGATGGTAAAAGTGACATCTTTTGGATGTCTAAGAAACACTGAAATAAAATCACCGTTAAGAAAAAAACCCTAACCTCTGAAAAAGAAGTTCATTGTGTTAATAAGGTCTTGTTAGGGTCAGTAACCTGAATATGGTTGCTGTGTGGACATGACCTTCACCCAGGGGCAACAGTACCAGCCCCAGTGCATCCTGTCCTGGAGTAGGGAGGGCTGTGACCAGGGCGTCCCTCCAGAGGCTCTTTGTGTGTGTATGTGTGCACATGCAATGTGGCGTGTGTGCCTCTGGCATGTGCAGTGTGTGTTAGGACGAGGGCTGTATGTGTAGTGTGTGGTATATGAGATTGTGAGGTGTGTGATGTGTGCGGTATGTATGTGAGTGAGGTGGTGTGTGTGAGATGCATGTAGATGCGTGTATATGGTGTGGCTGTGTTGTGTGTATGGCATGAGGCATGTGTGTTTTGGCATGTGTGTGCTATGTGTGTTTGGAGGAGGTGGTGGAGAGAGTGAGCAGCCCGAGAGCTGCTCTGGATTATGTGCTGAAAACTAGGCAGAGCCCTGTCACCTTCATCCTCTTCACTTGCCACTAAGAGATTGAAGGGCAGGGCTGAGGCACAGCCGGAGTCAGTACAGTGGATGGTCTCCGACAGGTCTCCCCTCCCCCTCTTTCCCTTTGCTAGTCATCTTGGTTGGAATCTCCTTTTTTCAGGAGGTCAATCAGAGTCCCTGGTGGGGTAAGAAGCTCTGACAGGGTTCTTCCAGTTCCTCAGGAGTCCCCTGAGCCCTTCCATCCACAGGTGCCATCCCTACAAGGGGCAGACACCCAGCTCAAACATGATGGGTTCATGTGATTGCTAAGTATACCCCATGAGTTCCATTTAGGGGCTCAAAAGGTGTCAGGAGTGTGATGAAGGTGTTCTCCATGACCTGTAGGTTTGTCTCTGGAAGCCAAATATTTCCAGACAAGAGGAAAAGTTTCACTTTTCCTCATGTGCCAGCAGGAAAGTGACTGTCCATCCTGGGACAATTCTCGTGGCTAGGTCTAGGCCAGGGTTCACTGAGGGCACGGCTCAGAATGCTACATAGAGCCTCAAGAATAATTGTGCTCTGGGCTGGGTGTGGTGGCACATACCTGTAATCCCAGTAGCTTGGGAAGCTGAGGCAGGAGGATCTCTAGTTCAAAGCCAGCCTCAGCAACTTAGTAAGGCCTTAAGCAACTCAGTGAGGCCCTGTCTATAAACAAAATATAAAAAGGAGATGTGGTTCAGTGCTTAAAGCACCCCTGAGTTCAATCCCTGGCACCAAAAATAAATACTGTGCTTGGGGCCTCAGGGAGGAGGTGCTGGCACGCAAGCCCAGGGCTCCACTCCCAGACGCAGCATTTTCATTGAAATTGACATACATGTGGCACCCATGTCACACACTGCCAGATGCCAGTTTTAATTGATCAGAAGTTATGAAATTGGTTCATTATAGGGGGAGAAGGAATCAGAAGAGATTATCCAGTGAGCTCTTTGCCTGCAGTGAGGATTCCACTTGAAACATTTCCCTGTGACGCTGCGTCTTCACCATCCTGGCCTGGACTGACACTATGCATACTGAGTGGCATGCACCCATGGAAGGAAGACAAAACCCCAGGAATTTCTTCCTGCAGCTAACCACACAGTGCTGGTAAACAAACACTGAATTGATCAGCAAGTATGAGCCCCGCAGATCTGGATTCTGGGATTAGAACCTTCCAGGTTTAAAGCAGCACCATACCTATTGCTATACATTTCCATGATGTCCCTGTATTTATGTGAAGTTCTATATTTCAACAAATATTCAGCTATTCAAAAGCTCCCCTGGAGTCCTTAGCATGACAGTGAGGAAGGCATGCTTGCTTCCCAGGATTGAGAACTGAGCAGCTTCACTGCGGCAGTGGTGGGCGGCAAACCTAAGTGAATTCTGCAAAAACAGAAGCTTGCAATGCAGTCATCAAAAGAATCATTTTAAAAAAAAAGTCATCAAAATAATGTCCTTTTTTTCTGATCAATGAATAGGTTTTTGGTGGTTATACAAGAAATTTAAAAAATGCATGCAGTGACATATCAGGTTCTTGTATAAAGACAATAGTAGACAGGATTCTCAGAGGAAAAACAACCTATAATGGGACTTCAGTAACTGCAAACAGCAAGTGATCAGGTTGAGTATCCTGCCTGATTGTACAGCTGTCACAGATAAATTCTTAAACCTGTGGACTAGCAGACTTAAAAAAAAATTCCATATTGCCATTCTGCATAGCAGACTCAACATCAACATGGAGATCTGGCTGGCACTGAGGCTCAGGAAGAAAACATTGTGTGCTCGTCATTCTGCTCTTCACAGCTGGTCCCCAAGGACATCAATTTACTGATAACCTCATGAATTTGTGTTTGTTCTTCCAAAGATATAACATTAGCGAGACCACTCAGAAAATTGTTAGGATTACAGAACTTGGACTTCCCAGCAGAACATGAATCGTTTTCTTGGTAAACAAGGAAGGTCTTTATATGTGACCATGACATGGAGCTTTATTTACACAAGCTTTAGAGGGTGCAGGCTCTGGGCACCAGTAAAGAACATTTATTTATTTATTTATGTAAAATATATTACACAACCCAGCTCTCTGCCTTGCTAACAGAAAAATGTTAGTTTCTTAGGAAACTGAAACAGTAAATTCCATGTCAAATCAAATAGATTCTTAAAACAACAGGAGAGGAGATGATTATAAGATTTTGCTTTTCACATAAATTTGGTCAAGGCACGTTAAGTGGTAAGATTTATCTTCAGATTATATTACGTTGAAGCAGACTCAGATTTCTATACAGATCTGATGCTCCTTGGTAAGGTTTACAAATAGAAGCCAGGAATTACATAGCTCCTGGGAAGTCCTGGGTCCCCTCTCCTCATGGTGTCTGAGCAGTCTCCACAGACAGGCCCCATTTCCATAAGATGTTTTCCTGGCTATAAAAATGATGCCAATGATCACTCCTTCACCAGTACCAGAATGGAGTGAACCTCCTTGTAGCAGGCACTTCTGACCAACACCCAGTTTGAGGAGAGACCACAAGAATCAATAATAATAACTGCAGGAGGCTTCCCGGGGCACTTGATTCCTCAAACCAAATAATTTAATTTTCATTAAAAAAGGTGGGTACACCATATACATGAAACAAATCCAATAGCTATAATGGTTCATTTTATGGGAACATCACCAAGGAAGTTGAAATATATAATTTCTTACAGGATTTATTGCAAGTTGCTGTTGCCCCTGGGTTTCAGTTGTAATCTGAAAGACAAAAGCCCAGCAAGTTCTGCCATCACACCAATGGTCCCTGCCTCTCTTTGAATTTCTATTCGAGAGCCAAGATAACAAATGTCCTCAAGAAGGAAGAGAGTTGTCCTCATTTCTGCAAAAAAACATCATTTAGCAAAGAAGCACCAAGTGCTGTATGTGACAAGAATCAGATTTCCAGTTTCAGTTGATATCCGGATAAATGGGCTGTGGTTCCAATTCCCGAGTTCGGAACCGCAAGGTGCTTGCTTCTGGAGCTGGGCAACATATTTTGGCCTTGGGAAGCCTGCGCTGGCGCCAACCGGAGCTTGAAGCTCCAGATTGGAGGTGGGGGGCAGTGGACCCTGCATCCTAGGTAACCACCCATCCCCTAAAGGTAGGCAGACCCTTGGCATGTGGGGCAAAATTGCCGCGCCTCCGAATCCCTGGCTCCGCCACACCCAAAAGCCGCTCTTCCCCAGCGGACCTGTTTGCCGCATTGCGTCTGCAGCACTGGTACCCGGTGGGCGCGCCGCGTAGAACCCTGTGGCCACGGAGCCCATGCCGGAAAGACACGGCCCAGGTTGTGGGCCTCATCGTGCCCTACTCACCAAGGAACAGCCAGAGACAGCACCAAGGGAGGCCTCGCAAGCTGGGAGCCATGGTGCGCGGCAAACCAGCCGACCTGCGGATCCCGTTTGCTGCAGACTGCGCCAGCCTGAGAGGCGCGCCACCGCGGGCGGAGGCGGGGGGCGGAGGCGGAGGCGGGAGGAGGCTGCGGCAGCGAAGCCCTGCCCACTGCAGCTCCTGGGCTGCTGGGCCAGCACCTGCCGCGCTGGGCCGCCAGGGGACCCTCAGGGTTAGCACGATCAGGCTCTCAGACGGACATCCCTAAATGCTAGCAGGACAAATGCAGTTCTTTCACTAGGGAGGGCCTCATAGACTCAAGCATCTTTCCCTCTTCCTTTGCCTGGCTCCTGGCCACTCCTGCTTCTGGGTCTGCGGTAAAAGGCCCGGATTTCATTTCCGCATCTATCTCTTCCCGAGATGCCCACACTGGGAAGCCCCTGGGAACAAAACCAGCCTGCCTTTGGGAGGACACAAGGATCATATAAAAAACTGAACAAATGCGGCTGTCTGCAGGATGTAAGAACGGCCCCAGGTCCTGGGACTGGACGGAACTGAGCTCTTTATATGGTCAGGTGGCCGCTCTGGTGGACTGGCTTCTAGGAGGCTAGGAGGGTATCCTGGCAGGAAGCTACAAGAGCCTCCAACAAAATTCTGACCCTGAACTTAGTGGGGAGGAGTTTCTAAACAGGTGATAGATCTGTATTGGGGCTGCTCACTTTGGCAACTGGAGAACTGGTTATGTTGGCACGTGTGTATATATGGGCATAAAGGGATGAGAGAAGGGCTCCTGGAGAGACAGAGCTGCTGTGAAACCCAGGGGATGAGCAGATTTCAGAAGGCACAGGCCTGTGCTGCAGGTAGAAACTGGAGTTATCAGCTCAGGGCAGCTGAGTTAGCCTGAGCTTGCAAGGTTTTCCTGGTGTCTGGATTTTACCTTGCAGTAACAGCCTGTTCCAAGAAGCCCTAGTAGTGGAGTAGATTTATGTTCATTTTGAGGAATGAACCACTGCCCTTGGAGGGGTACAAACCACTGGCCTGGTACAGTGCCACATCTGTTGTAGCAGAAGCTTCACTCATTGCTGTGCTCAGCATGAAATATCTCTGGATGGTTAATATTCCTCATATGAAGAGGGGATATAGGGGTTGGGGTTGTGGCTCAGCAGTACAGCACTTGCCTAGCATGTGCAAGGGGCTGGGTTCAGTCCTCACAGCAAAAAATAAATAAAATGAAGGTATTGTGTCCAACTACAACTAATATATATATGAAAATAAAAGGGAACACAGCCAGTGGCAAAGACACTGCTGCCACCTGCTGGCTATGAGCTCAGAAGTGTCAGTTGCCAGGAAGCTGTGGTCATCCATCTTTCTGAACACAGGCTGGTAGGACATGCAGAGCTTGCATGCCTTCAACATGGTAGCCTCAAGTGTTCTGTGAGGTGTATGGGTTAGATGATGGGGGAGGGCATTCATTCTCTTGACCTAGCACTTCTTTTTCAAACCCAGGAGGACACACCCTCAAGGGTGGCTTGGTTCCCCATTGATTCATTGAGTCTCCAATATGTGCAAGACAGTGTTAGGTAAACAGGTCCTGCCCTTCAGTTGGTGACTATAGTGGATGACTTAAAAAACCCTCAATGGTAACAGGAATTCTATGATGCAGGAACTACAAAAACAAGGGACAAATGCATCAGCTGCAGACTAAGTGCAAAGGAAGATCTTAGACAGCAGTGGGGTATACACATACTGGGGTGAGAGGAAGACACAGGCCTATCAACAATCCCCAAACAAAAGAATCATGAAGAAAAGCAAAGGAATATTACAAATTGCTTTTAAATCCAGTAATAAAGAGAAACCCTTAAAAGCAGCCAGAGGGGGAAACAAGACATTATATACTATATGAACACAGATCAGGGTGACAAGCATTCTCATGAAAAATGCAAACCAGAAAACAAGGGAACATCTTTAAGTGCAGAAAGGAACAAAGCTTCAACTGTTCGACAGTTTTCCATTAGTTGCTGATGCAGAGGAGAAGGCTGACCTGGTATCCTCACTCTCCATGGGCAACTAAGAGGCCAAACTCCAGCCACCATCAATTTGAATTAGTGATTCTCAAGATATCACGTTTCTAAGCAGTAACACCTTATAGCCCTATAAGTTTACAATATAATATAGTTGTTAGAAAAGCATTAACAAACCAAGCATTATCTTGGAAACACTTAGCTTCATCAAGCATCAGATATTCAAATCTCCCAAGGGATTCTTCCTGTTAAAACCAGAATATTGGAGACTTGAAAGTAGCTGAGAAGATGTTATATGTCTTCCTATTTCCCCAAAAGATCTCCCCAAATGAGAAACAATTTTCTAAGGAGTGAAAATAAGAAAATTGTGTGCTCAGCATCACATGGAGAATTTTGGCACTGCAAAATAGCTGAGTAAAAGAGGTTTAGTCACTACCACCAGAGTATAGTTGCACACTCATGCTCTACCCTCAGACAGCCACACCTTAGTAGAGGGCAAGGGTGGACTGAGACAAAGTTTGGGAGACAGACAGGGACAAGGGTAGAGAGATTACATTATAACACACTAGAAATGAAAATAGTATTCTAGCACCATCAAGGTGAACAAGAGAAAGTCAACTTTATCTAAAATTACTGCTGAAAACCAGATGAAATTTTACACATATAAACCAGAAGACCCCTGCCCCCAGAGATGCTATCATAAATGTGTAACATAACCACACCAATGGGGACCAGGGATAAGAGACCCAACCTAAGTCAAGGTCAAAAATAACATTTGACTGCGTAATATAGGCTAAAACCAAAAAAGAACTGTTTACAAACGCTGTACTCCAGTTAGTAAATCAGTCTCTCATAGGGTTACGATTTAAAAGCTGTAATGTCCATATGTGTATACCAGGAATGCACAAATAAGTAAGTATATTGAGAATAACAGGATCCAGTTTAGTTTTGGTACTAGGGATTCAACCCAGGTCACTTTGCCACTGAACTACATACCCAGTCCTTTTTATTGTATTTTTTTTTTTTTTTTTTTTGAGATGGGGGGTCTCACTAAATTGTTGCTGAGGCTGGACTTGAATCCTTCTGTCTCAGCCTCCCAAGTCACTTGGATTATAGGCATGTGCCACTGTACCTGGCAGTTTTCTCACTATTGGTGAAAGAAGGTAGAAATAAGGAAGGGAATAGAAATTTAAAGCATCAGTATGAACAAATATATATACCCAATGGACCAAATATAGAAACAAATATAGGTGTGTCTGTGCAAGGCTTAATTTTCTCTCTCTCTCTCTCTCTCACACACACACACACTTCTTACCTGTATCAATTGAGCCTGAGACCAACTCCGACAGCAATGAGCACACCTTACTGACAAGATCTTGGTTTCTAAATACCACTCTCCATAAAAGGACAGCTTGTTTAAGTCATTCATTCCCGTGCTGGAGCAGGGAATGTTCAAGATGGGACTAAAATAGTCTGCAGTGCCAGAAAATAAGTACTTGGAAAAGGACAGCATTTTCAAAAGAACACAGAACCCAACCTAAAAATAGCCCCTGTTAGAGCTGTAATGATCTGAGGAGCAAAGTAAGTAATGACAGTATTGTAATGTAACTCACAGTATTGTAATGTAACTCACAGAACAAAATAAACATCTATGAGTCCCAACTGCTATAAATAAATAAACAAACAAACAAATAAACAAACAAGGAGGAGGAGGAACAGCTTTTCCTTATAGGAACATTCCACATAATACATGTAGAATTAACAAGAAACCTGTGAAACCCCTTAACAAACATCACAAGGTAACTATTTCAGGCTAGATCTGTTGATGGATGCTGAAACCAGTGGGCAAAATTTTTTAGGAAATATATTTGTAAACCTTCAAAGAACTCCCTTAATTACAAAGGAAAGATGATAACTTTAAACACTGGAGAAACTGGCAGAAGCCTCTCTAACTTGTTGATCAAGGATAGTATATCCTGCAGAGGATATCCTTGAGTACTCCTATCAAAAATGCATAATCTCAATCTAATCAGGAGAAAACATCAGAAAGGCTCAAGCTAAAGAAGCATTCTGCAAAATAACCAATCAATACTCATCAAATGTCAAGGCCATGAAACTCAAGAAAATGCTGTGGAACTGTCATATGCTGGAGGGGATTAAAAAAAAACCACAATAATCAAATGAAATGTGGGCTACCGGATTGATCCTGGAATAGAAAGAGAAATTCAGAGAGAAAACAAGAAACTGAATATTGTCTGTGTTTAATAGTATTGTGTCAATGTTAATTTCCTGGTTTTTGATTATCTTATACTATATAAAATTGTATTATTAAGTAAACATTAAAGTAAGCTGGGTGAAAGGCATACATAACCTATCTGCAGCATTTTGGCAACTGTTCTGTAAGCCTAAAATTATTGTCAAATTAAAAAACAGTTGTATACTCAACACTGAATTAACACTGCTCATGAGCCTATTTCTTAGCAGTTCTTTTAACCACTCCTAATTACTCAGGATGTTGCATGTGCATGTGTGTGAGGAAGAATCCTTTAACTCTGAAACTAATGATAGTTTGTTGAAAGCATTTTAGAGTCAAGCTAGTGACCTTACTGTGAATGTATTTCTAAGTTTTGGATATACATCATATGTTTATGAATACTAATGCAGTTACAGTCTGCAAAATCTTTGTATTATCAAATGAGGGGAAAATGTCCCCTAGTTATTTGTTTTTTTCCTAGGAAAATCACCTATCCTGTTTCCGGGCATCCTTTCATTTCAGACATTCACAGAGCATGTAATCTAAGTCTGCTTCATCATGTCTTTCCTGGGGCTTAAATAGTGAGAAAAGGACACTTTTCCCCTCAGGATTGTCATTTATTTAATTTTGGGTACTGAGGATTGTACTCAGGGGCACTTGACCACTGACCCACATCCCAGCCCTATTTTGTATTTTTTATTTAGAGACAGGGTCTCACTGAGTTGCTTAACACCTTGTTTTTGCTGAGGTTGGCTTTGAGCTTGTGATCCTTCTGATCTTCTCAATCTCCCAAACCTCTGAGATTACAGGCGTGTGCCACCGCGCCCGGCTTCAGGATTGTTATTTTTAAGAACAGAATGATTATACATATCTAGCTAGAACTGCTGCTGGTAATCTTTGCCCTCATGTATAGAGACTCTGATACCAATCCAGAAAAAAACCGAAATCCTCTAGACCCAGCTATACCTGAATTCATTTCTCAAGTTTTCAATTATGTAAGTTCATTTTCATTTTTTGTGCTTTGGCTAATGAGTTATGTTTCTACCATTTGTAATCAAGTTATCGCCTGACTTACACACTGATCTATGACCTTCCTTAATACTGAAGCAGGTTACAAACATTCCATAGAACAAAAGTAAAAATAAATTAAATAAAATGAAGTAATTTAAATCAAAGTGAAGGTATGACCATAAATATGCATTACACACTGGCAGATGATAGCATTAGCAGCTACAGCACACCTTGACTGAATGCTTTTATGTTATAACAAACACTGTGGCTAATGCATTACTCTATCTCCCTAGGAAGACAGATACTTCTCTTATCTCTGTTTTACAGAGCAGGCAACTGAAGTACAGAGAGATTATGAACAAGGCAGGAGCAGAAATCTGAACTTAGAAAATGCTTCAGAGGCTGCATTCTTAAATAGTACACTATTAAAGATGAACCAGTTTGGCTCCCAGTTTTCTGGCAGTAAAAGCAAAAATAATTTATAACAGTCAATGTTCCTAATACATACGATAAAGATATTCTCTGATCTGTCAATCCCATCTGTCGTGTTATTAGGGCAGAAGTTCTACATCCATACTACTAGCTGGGAATTCATACAATATTCATAGATCAGGTATATCCCCCACCCTCAGACTAAAAATTCAGGCAAAGATACATAGAACCTGTAATATTCCTGATAGTTTTCTAGGAACAATTAAAACTATTAGCTTTATAAAGCTTATCTCACATATTACCATAAACTTGGTGGCATAGACAATGCAGATTTATTTTACTTCTGGAGGTCAGAAGTCTGACACTGGCCTCACTGGGCTAAACTCAAAGGCTACAATTCTTCTGGTGGCTGTAGGGGAACATCTGTTTCCTTGGTTTTTCCTGCTCCTGGCGGCCAACCACATTCCTTGGCTCCTGGACCCTTCAGTCTTCAAAGTCAGCAGGAATGGGTGAAGTTCTTGCAAATGCCATTTTCTCCAAGTCTCTTTTCTGCCTCTTCTACCACTTTTAAGGACTCATGTAATTAGATTAAGACTACCCAGATAATCTAGGGTAAGCTTCCCAACTCAAGGTGAACTACTGATTAGCAATATTAATTTTTGTCACATAAGACACATTCACAGGTTCTGGGAATGACAACAGGACACTTCAGAAGGCCATTCTTCTGCCCAAGTTAGTACTTAAAAGTCAATATAGATAGAATGCTGGCAAAAAACTATTTCTTTAATAAGAAATTACTTGTATACTAAGCTTTTTAATCACACATTATTTCCCTTGACCAGAATTCAGACTGGCATCAGACAGAGCCATTGTAGAATTTTTAGTCCCACTTTTTTGTATGATACTTATAACATTTCAGAGTTCTAGTTACCTCAAAACAATTATCTACCTATTCTAGTTGACACAGGTAAATGCTCTTTATTATTCTAATATTATAGTATATGTAAGAAACAATGAACAACAATATAAGTATACTAAAATTTGAAATTCTGCTTGTGAAGATACATGGAAACTTGGGACAATCTGACTGCCTTTTAAAATTCTAAATGAATTTATAAAATTATCTAATATCAAATTAGACTGTAGACCAAAAGATAAACACTGAGGCTCCAAAAGATTCATGAAGAATAATTTTGAGTTTCTGATTTAACTTGGGAAGTGTAGTAATAGTTATCAATTTACTGGTCATGCTGAAAGGCTACAGTTCTTCTGGTGGCTGTAGGGGAACATCTGTTTCCTTGATAATATAAATAACACTTAACAAAAGCTGTTTGATTCTTAACTTTGTTCTCAGAATTATAAATTTAAAAAACCTCAGAGTTATAATTAAAAATGACCTTTTCTATATCTTCCCCAAATCAAACATAGTAATTTTGTTTCTCTGTATTCTAAGAGAGAATTCCACTTCATCATTTCTTTCAGAAATAACTAACTAGAGGTATTTGTCTTATTCCTACTATGTTAAAAATAATGTCTATTCCATGTTGCAGAGTGGTCCTGTGCTAACTCTGAATGTAGCATTTTAATACAAACAACTATATCATTATTTAACATTTAGGAAAAAAATCCCTTAATTTTAGTGTTCTACTAATTTGATAAATGGAAAAAGCCTATTATCCTCAAGTTTCATTTAAGAGGGTCCTTTCAAAATCTTTTTTTTTAAAAAAAAACATTTTGAAATTCAGTTCTTGGTAGACATATGGGGTAGATACAGTAATATCTGGAGATACAATGTAATTTATGAAATAAAACCTTATTCTTAAAACTCTCATAAAGGGCTGGGATTGTGGCTCAGTGGCACAACACTTGCCTTGCACGTGCGAGGCCCTGGGTTCGAGTCTCAGCACCACATAAAAATAAATAAATAAAATGAAGGTATTGTGTTCAACTACAACTGAAAAATAAATATTTAAAAAAAATCTCATAAAAGAGGAAAAATATGAAATCTAGCAGTTTAATATTTGGTCTTACCACCCTATGTAGTCCACATAACACTGGGAGGTTAATTCACACTTGGACAATCCCATTGCACTTCCAGAAAGTATTAGATTTACAGTGGAATTATAGATTAGCTGCCTTTATTAAATTTAAGTACATCAAATATAAATGTTAAGTGGGAAATTTGTAATCAAGTAACACCAACTATACACTGGATGCTCTAAACATTTAAACACTTATTATTATTAAACATGTAACTTTAAGAAGTACATATTTGGTACTTTAAAAAAGCAAGCAATTAAAGAAGTTTATATCCTATATTCCTATCAGATAGGGAACCAAATTAGCCTTTGAAAAGTGTTCCACTTTATACACTAATACAAAAGAACTTATCACAGAACAGGTGCAAGCAATATGATAACCATTTAAATTTCAGTACTAGACCAAAACACACATGGGTCACCCTTCTCTGTGAAAACAGGAAAACTACAATTGAATGTTTCATACTGAAGTTGGAAATATGCATTAAGTATATCACAGCAGTGACTTACTTGTCTTTGAGCTTAAAAATAAATGTGACAATATTTTCTATTTCTATAAATTCAAACTATCTATTATCTTATGGTCCAATTTAAGGGTCTTTTAGACATTTAAAAACTGCAGCTAATATATGAACTTAAGGTAAATTACAGTTTTATGTATGGATATCAGTTAATGAACTATGAAATGATATCAATAAACCTTTTCTAGGTCAGTTTTTTTTTTTAAATTGACTTATCAAAGGTTTTTAAAAAATGGACATGACCTTTTTTTCTGATCCAAAATATGCAGTTTTAAGTCTCTAAGTAACAAGTTTGAAATAAAGTTTAAAAAGATAAAATTATGGAGGGATATGAAGTAAAATATTTTAACAGCTAAGGCTAGTTACTGAGGTTATTTAATTGTATCTTGCTATTACCATAACTTTTTTCTAAGTGCTGCAGAACATTCTCTGAAGAAGGGCACTCTGATTTCCATGGAAATCCTATAGGGTTAAGAACAGAAGGGAAAAATCAACAATGAAATATATTGATTTTGCTAAACCTAATATTCTAGGAAAGCATATATTTAGTTATTAGTATACACTACTACTAAACTTATCAAGACTCACTTATACATGAATATCGTATGTGTTAATTCACAATTAAATTCTATTACTTGATTTATTATATCAATAAGCTCTATTATTAGATTGAAGGATGCCAGATATTATACACAGAAAACTTTTCAGACATTGTTTACAGAAAAAAAGCAATTATTAACAGTGTTTTAACAGAAAATCCAATGCGGTCAGGTGTCATCTTCTATCACTGTAAAGCACCTAAGCTACCTTAGTAGACATACATCCTGTCCTTCATTATTTTGTAGCCCATGATTCTACTTTGTAGAATGTATCATTATTTGAAAATATATTTTTATTTCCTTTTCCTTTCTAGAATTCAGGTTCCTGGAAGGCAGGAAATTTTATTTCAGCTGACTTCTCAGCATCCAAAAGTCAAAAAAAGGTTAGTAGTAGTATACAGGGTAATAATTGAGAAGGGGCACATAGAAGCCTTCTGGGGTGCGGGAAACCTTATATATCGTGACCTGGTATATAGACTTTTGCACACATATGTGAAAATATGTACATTTTTGATTGCTTTAAATTTTACAATGATTTTAAGAGTGGAATGGGTCATAAAGAGTAACAAATGTAACAAAATGATTATCTGGGAATTTGGAAATGATCAAGACTAGACTTAACAGATTACTGGAGATAAAATAAAAGCAAGATGATAGTTAAGATAGAAAGTAAATATAAAGCACTATTTAAATGTGTGGCTGGAAAGATCAAAGACAAAAGTAGTAGGAAATGGTATTCAGAGAAACAATCTAGATGTTAGTTGTGCTCAATGTCGCTGGGTTCTCATTGGCTTCGGAGTGTTTTCATAGATAAAACTACAATCAGGTAATTCTGAAATTCAGAATCATGACTTAATATTATTTTCAATTCAAGTTTAATAATACAGAAATTTAAATTTAGCTTTTTATTTTTATACCTTTCTTCTTGTATACCAAAGATATCAGTTTCTAACATAATTATGTTTTCTATATAAAGTTCCAAAGTGTTGGGGCTGGGGTGGTGGCTCAGCGGTAGAGTACTTGCCTAGCACACGCGAGGCCCTGGGTTCGATCCTCAGCACCACATAAAGATAAATAAATAAAGGTATTGTGTCCAACTACAACTAAAAAATAAATATATTTTTAAAAAGTTCCAAAGTGTTGTTACTATTATGATTTATGATTCTTTACAGCTCTAGTTGTACTTAGAATATGTGATATATCTAGAAGAATAGTTAAAATGTAATAAACATGTAAATGCAATAATTAGGGGCTGGGATTGTGGCTCAGCAGTAGAGCGCTCTCCTAACACGGGCGGGACCCGGGTTCGATCCTCAGCACCACATAAAAATAAAGGCATTGTGTTGTGTCCATCTACACCTAAAAAATAAATGCAATAATTATTTTCTTTTATATGGTTATACAAGTAGTTTCATTCATTTTAGTTTTGTTTTCATTTAAAATTATTTTCTCTTTCCTTTTATATTAGCAAATGGAAAACATTTAGGTTTCCAAAACCAAGAATGAATGTATATGAGACCTTTTGTTTCTATCACTATATCATCCTCTCCCTGCAATCATTTTATCAGGTTTTCCTTCCAGTTTCTTCTTACAAACAAAAGTAAATATGTGTACCTATACTCATATTTCTCCCTTTTAAAACGTAGATTGCATATATTTCTCTTGATTTAGTTACATAAACAACATTGACAGAAGTTTACTCCATTAGTGTTCAGACCTTTTCTTATTTTTGTCTAACAGTCAATATGTAGATGTTTCTAATCTTCTGCCAAAGAACCTTGTGCATGAGACATTATATCTGCCAATTTATTTCTGACAGAATGGTGAAGTGAGATTTTGAGGTCAAAAAGTAAATACATGTATGACTTTTAAAGGCACTGATGATTTTCCTTTCATTTGCACTGACTGTCCCAACAGCAGAATGTCTACCAATCTGATTGGTGAAAATTTCTTGTCAGATGGAGAAAATCATTTATTAAAAAGACTGTTCTATTCCCTATTATTCTGTGATGCCACCTTCATGCTAATCAAGTGATTACATATTTATGTCATTGTTTTAAAGTTCTCTTTTCTGTTCAGTTGATCTATTTGTCTTTCCTTGCACAAAAATAATATTATCATTTCATAACATCAACATATGATAAAACCAGTCCACTTTATTTTTCTCAAAAACCATTTGGCTATACTTGACCTTTTGTATTTTCATAATTTTGAGAATCTGCTTGCTACTTAGTTCCACAAAAATACATGATTAGGATTTTATCAGGATAGCACTAAATGCATTGGACAGGATGAAGAGAACAGGTATCTTTACACTATTGAGTCTTCTAATCCAGACAGAAGATACAACCCTCAATTTGTTTAGAATTTCTTTAATTTCTCTGTTTATAGTTTTCAAATAGAGGTCTTGAGTCTTTTGTTAAATACATTCCTGGTAGTTGATAGTTTTAATGGTACTATGATTATCTTTTTTAAAAATCCATTTTTCCGACATTATATGGTATGTGGAATTGCAACTGACTTTTTTGTGTACTGTCTTTGCATCCAGAAATCCTTTTTAATTCTGATAGTCTATGTGTAGAATTCATGGGATTTCCTATATATAGAATTAGCTGTACATACAGATGATGAGTTTAATTTCTTCCTTTCTTATACTTTTTCTTTTTTCTCCAAATTTTTGAATTGCACACTTTACTCATTAATTTTCAGTTATTTATTTTATGACATAGGCATTTAAAGCTATCCATTTCAGTTATAGCACAGCTCTGTGTCCCACAAACTTTGATATGGAGCATTTTCATCATCATTCACTAAAACATATAGTCCAGTTTTAATTATGAATTCCTTCATTTATTGGTTAGACATGTATTTCAAAACATGGGGTTTTCCTATTTTTATTCTCATTAATGATTTCTAGGTTATTTGTATTATGGTCAGAAATATACTTTTTTCATTCTTTTAGTATTTTTTGAGACTTATTTTATGGTCTAGTATATAGTCAAATTTTGTAAACATTTCAGGTGACTCGAAGACACTTTATTTATTTTTTCATTTTAGGGAATACTGTGTTCTAAATATGACCAGTTAAGTCCAGTGATTATTTTTTAGTAGTTCAGATGTTCTGTATCATCACTGATATATTTTTTGCTTGCTTTTTAAAAAATATTTCTTAGTTTTAGGTGGACACAATATCTTTTTTATTTTTATGTGGTGCTGAGGATTGAACCCAGTGCTTCATGCATGCTAGGCGAGCACTCCACCACTAAGCCACAATCCAGCCCATTTTGCTTGCTTCTATAAGAGAAATATGTTAAAAACTTCCTATTATTATCACAGACTTACAATCATTTTTCCTGGCAATTTTGGAAATATCTGTCTTATATATTTTGAAGGTATTTTAGATGTACACAAACTTAGAATTATTATTTATTCCTGGTAAATGGAACATCTCTCTTGATAATTTTATTGCTTTGTTTTTGTGTTAATATAGTTATTTGTTTTTCAAGACTCTTACCTTTTCATATCCTAATACTTCTAGGTGGTATCTAGAAATACTATGTATTTGTAGTTGACATTTTAAAATCTAACCTGTTGATCTATCAAGTCTTTTAGTTCATCTACAATTGTATTTACTGAAATAAATGCATTTTCATCATCTAAGTTCCTCCTATTTATCCTGACTGCTCTGTGTCTTTTTATTCTATTTTTTTAAAAAACTACTTTTGTACTATTTTTAATACTTCAAATTCCTCACCCGTATCATCATGGGAGTTATATATTTTTTCTTTTTGTAGAAAAATACACATAAAATTTACTACTTTCAAATGTACAGTTCAGCAGGTTCACACTCATGAAGTATGTTAACACTGCTGTATGGCCATTATCACCATCAATCTCCAGAGCTCTTTCCTCTTCCCGATCTGAAACTCTGTACTCATTTCTTCTATGAACAGTTTTAGTTTTTGATCCACTCTGAGTTAATATTTGGATATGGTATAGGTAAAAGACCCAACTCTATATTTGCATGTTTTTAAGATTTGTTCTTTTAAGTGTTACTCCAAAGATTACTGTTGCAGGGCCTAACCCTGGACCTACACGGAGGAATGCTTATCTTGCTCATTATACAGCAGGGAAGTCCTAACATAGAACGCTGTGTTTTGGGGCAAAGTGCTGTCAAAACACTGGCAAGTGCCATTTCTTTGCTCCCCTGACAAGAAGTTATTCCCGTGCTGTTGCAAGGCTGGCCTACATGGCCGTTTCTGGACTCTTGGTGTCTTGATTCCCTTAAGAGGTGTGTCACCTCTGGCCTATCATGACTGTTATATGTAAATTGAGACATACCCTCTGTAAAAGCTATTTCTGCTGTGCAATAAAGCAGACACTGTTCTCTGAAACTATCTCCAGAGGGGTTTCTCCACACCCTCAAGTTCCCCAGTCAATACTGGAAGGGCAGGCCCCTCAGCAGAATACAACATGCATTTGCTAGTTTATCAAAGTCTCATATCAAACAGCATGTGTAGAAAAGAGAGTTAACACAGCAAGAGAGACCCAAAAGTGCCGTCTTTAGAAAATTCTACTTACAAGGTAGGCCCTTGGCTAGTGTCTGGAAATCTGGATTTCAAGAGGTTCCTCCCCTTTCCAGAAGTTATGACTGCCTCACTGTGCTGAAACTGTTTATATAAACATCTGTTTATGCTAAACAGCTGCTTTCTTTCTGAGTGTAGACTATGGTATGTAGGCAGAGTACCTACATGACCAATCCCCAATAAAATCCTTGGGCCCTGAGTCATTAATGAGTTTCCCTAATAGATGGAGAAATCAAACACACCCTGTGTGGCTCCCTAGAAGTTTGCATCTGGTTTCCTCCAGACTCACCACAGGTATCTTTTCCCTTTGTTGATTTTGCTCTGTATCATGTTATAATAAGTTACAGCTATGTGTACACCTATACACTGTTTCATGCTGAGTCCTTCTAGCCTGGGGGAATGGTTGGGAACCTAACATAGACATTTTATCCTCTCTTCCCCAACTGCAAGGTGCTTAAAACAGTAAGAATACTTATTTCCCTCTCAACTTGTATATACTAGTATTGTCATATATTTTAATCATATAGACTCTATAAAATACCACTATTCTTGTTTTATACAGTCAGTATGGACATAATTGTTCTTTTTTGACCTTCATTTCTCCTGCACTTCTGAACCTTCATTTAAAATCAAATTTCCTTCTTTCTTGAACACTCTTTAGTATTTTTATTTTTTAAGAGTGTCTCTCCTTCTAAAGCAACAAGTTATTTCAGATTTTTTTTTTTTTTTTTTTGCAGTACTGAGGATTAAACCCAGGATCTTGCACATGCTAGGCAAGTGCTCTGCCATTGAGCTACATCCCTACCCCTTTTTTATTTTTCTTTGAGACAGGGTCTCTATAAGTTCCCCAATCTGGCCTCCAACTTCTGCCTCAGCTTCCTGAGGAGCTGGGATTATAGGCATATGCCAACATGCCCACTATAGTTTTATTTTCATGAAAATATTTTACTGTTATTCTTGATGGTTCTTTTCCTGGATGTACAATCTTATGTTTGTAAAATTTTTTGATGGTGTCTCATGAAAATGAGCTGTTATTTATTTATTTATTTTGAGACAGGATGTTGCTAAGTTGCTGAGGCTGGCCTTGAGCATGAACCATCACTCTCAGCAAGCACGTGTTTTTGTTTTTGCAGTGCTGGGGATTGATCTCAGGGCCTCACACATGCTAGGCAAGTGATCTATCATACTAAGCTACATCCCTAGTCCCAGGCATTTTTTTTTTTAAAGTGGTTCTGACAAATACCTAGAATCTCTCTGGTTTAGTTTCTATTATCTAGTACTTAAGGTAACTTTAAAAAAAAATTATTTGTTCTTTTTATAGTTATAAATGACGGTAGAAGGTATTGTGACAAACTATGCATACATGGAGTATGACTTCCCATTCTTGTGATTGTACATGATGTAGAGTGTTTCACTAGTCATGTATTCATATATGAACATAGGAAAGGTATCCATTCATTCTACTGTCTTTCCTATTCCCATCCCTTCTTCCTTCCCTTCATTCCCCTTTGTCTAATCCAATGAACTTTTATTCTTCCCTTCTCCCCCACCTTTATTGGGTGTTAGCATCTGCATATCAGAGAGAACATTCGGCCTTTGGTGTTTTGGGATTGGCTTATTTTACTTAGCATGATAGTCTCCAGATCCTTTCATTTACTGCAAATGCCATAATTTCATTCTTTTTTATGGCTGAATAATATTCTACTATGTATATATACCACATTTTAAAGTTATTTTTCATTCACATGAGCTTATTTCTTTATGATTATTTTTTATAGTACACTCTTATTCACAAAATAAACTATTACGTATCAAATTCTGGCATAAATAATTTGAGAATTAAAATGGTATTACTTTATTACAAAGAATTCTTATTTTAATTTCTCTTAGTTATCTGGCAAAAGCAATAACTGTAGATCATTTCAATCCTACCTAGGGAATAAATTCTAAATCTGAGTTACAGCCCCTCTGAGAAACAAATTAGTTCTAGTTCAAATTTACTCCTAGAGCACAGCCCTTTGGAATCCCAACCCCCTACAAAGTCTACCAAGTCTCCATTCCTCTAGCTGTAACGTTACAAAAAGGGTCCCTTTAGCTGCTCCTTAGCAAATACCAGGGAGAAACTGGTTCCAAACATTGAGCATATTTCTCTGAGAATATCTTTTCTGTACATTAGCCACATAATTGATCATTATATTGATAGCTCTTCAATGTCTTCAAACAAAAATTGTTTTAAAAAATATATATATTGAGCTTCTAGCTGTTCTCAGTAGAAAGTTGGCTTGAATTACCTGGATACCTTATGCTGGAAACAAAAGACCTGATCCACTAGTTTGCAAAAGAAATTCTACGTTAATCTGTAGAAATTCAGAAAATATACACAAACTCTTTGTTGCCTTTGTTCAAGAGGTGGAGCTTAATTCTCCTCCCCTTGAGTGTGGATTAGATTTAGTGATCCCCATTTAATAGTGTGGCAAAATGACAGACTGCAACTCCTAAGGGCAGTCCACAAAAGACAATGCTGCTTCCATTGTGCTCTCACTTTCCCAAGGGAAGCCAGCTGCCACATGTAAGGACATCCAACGAGTCTAATGGAAAGGCAGGTCCATGTGATGAGCAATTGAAGCCTCCCATGTGAATGGACCCTCTTAGAAGCTGAGCTTTCAATCTCAGCCAGCCTCCGGATTACCACAGTCAGATCAACATCTTGAATGCAACATGGTGAGACTCTGAGCTAAAACCACCCAGCTAAGAATCCCAATCTGCAAATTGTGAGATGATAAATGTTTAAGTTAATTAATTTTAAGGTAATTGGCTTTGAATTAATAGTTATTTAATGCAATACTGGTTTTTAAATTTAGTATTTTATGTTACTATTTTAATTTAAAATTATTCTTTTTATTTCTAAAGAAAATGAAATCAATAACTTAAAATGCTTTAGTAATACTTAAATATCAAAGAAAATGGTTACTTTACCTCTTTATTGCTTTGTTTATTCCTAACTGGAAGCAGAGTTTTTCAGAACAGATGAAGTCATTTCCACAATAGTACTAATAGATAAGCCATTCAGGAAACCTTTATGATTTACTCTTACTTCCTGAAGAGCATCTATAATATGGTCTCTATGCAAAAAGAAAACATTCATGGGCATTTTTTTCCCAAAGTAATGCATTCTGAATATGACTAAGTTATAGAACTTAACTATTTTTTACTTATATTGTCTGTTAAAATATAATTTTAGTTACTACCTGCTGACATCTGGATGCAGTTCAGCCAGTCTCTTCATGATCTTGGTAAAACTACGAAGGTTCAATGTATTTGGAGGTATAAATTGAATAGGTGTCTCAGGTAATAAATGAGCAGATTCAATCTGTTTACAATTCTTCTTAACACCCTAAATTAATGAATAGAATGAATAAATGTTGAAAATATGATAAAAAGCAAAAAGGGCCAAGAAACTGCTTAGAAAGATAAAGAAGAAAAAAAAACTTATTATAGTCTAACAAAGATGGTAAAAGGAACTTCACTATACACATACTCCTACCCACAGCCAACCCCATGGCCTAGCTCACTGGACCAAGACTGTAGTCTCTCCTGAACTAATGAACACCAAAATCACAGGCTGGGTCAGTGGAATTATCTGTCTAAAAAACATAAAACTGGAACATGAAACAAACAAATTAGTCAAATAATCACAGGTGCCTGAATGAAAATACTGCAGTTAAAATTAAGCAAAACAAAGCCAAGTGGGAAAAAAAAAAGCAGTCATGAGCAGAGAAAACATCATGCACAGAGAAGGAGAAGGAGCCCAGATTCCCTGGAAAGATATGGACCAAAGGAGAGAGGAGGGCAAGAGTCACAGTCCCAATATAACCCAGGTTTACTTTCCTTCCTGCTATGGATTGAAACTATGTACCCCCAAATCCATCCTAACCAGGAGGTGTGAGATGAAAGGAAAGGTGTTTTAAAAAGTGATGACCAGAGGCCAAGTGCTCAAGAAGGCATATTAGGAAAGATCAGTAAAAAGGTTGTTGGTGACAATGGAAAGAACAGTTCAAGTAAAATTTCTGAGATTGAATTTAGAGTATTAGGATAAAGGAGATAGGCAATCAAATAAATGGAGGCAAAAAACTACTTCATTGAGAAGTCTAGCAATGAAAACTGCACAAATAAGGATGGTAAATTCAAAGAAATGCAAAGTCAAGTGAAAATCCTATCAGGATTAGGAATGGTTTTAGGTGACTACAAGTGGAAAGAAAAGGTTTCAGTGAAAATGAGAATCACTAATGGTATAGAGAAGGAATGGGTGAATTTTAAGAATCAGGAGAGGACAGAATAAAGGACACAGCTGAGCAAAGCAAACAAATCAGAAAATGAAAGAATTGTTTTTGAATGATGGGAATGTTTGTTATTTTGATTATGGTGGTGGATATTTATTGATATGCATTTGTCTAAAGTCATGGACAAGAAAAAGTAAATTTTACTGTAATTAGGGCACCAGGAATTTTGCTGGGCAGTGGAGAGATGAAAGCGAACAAGCAAACTTTGTCACTTTCCATGTGGTGTTTGAGACCTTGATGAAGTAAAAGTGAGGGCATATGATTATAAAATGACTACATTTTATGGTTTTAAGAATTGTGAGATAAGTCTAGCTGTGGAAAAAAAAGGATGATAAAAGTGTAATTAGTTACTTGTAAATTAGTACTATTTAGAAATAGGGAGATAAGATCTGCAAAGGACTGTCCAAGAGCCTAGTTAAAAAGAATGAGTTTTTTCTTTGGTTAGATCTATAAACCACTCCACTCCTGCTCCACCCCCACAGAGCAACTGGAGCTGTATAAAAAGAGGTTAGGTGGAGTCAAGATTTAAAACAATTTAGTTTGATGATGCTCTCCTTCCAACAATTCCAGATTGTCAATACTGTAATTGTTTATTGTACAAAGGTATTTACAGCAATAAGGCATATATGAGACCATTTGTGGGCCAATTAATAACTAACCTTCTGGTCTGAAGGGGAAAACTCACTGTCTTGCTCAGATCCCAGCTGCCGTGGCCTAGTTCTGGGCAATTTAGAAATGCAGGAGGCATTCATTTCTTTGTTGGTGTTTTTCTCCAAATTATTCAAACCAACTTTATTCCCATTTTTGGAGGCAAGTGGTGATGTATATTCTCCAGGAGTTTTAACAAGCCTCACATTTACTGATTTTCCATTTATTTCCATTCCATTCATTTCTTTCACAGCCATCTTTGCATCACTGTTTTTTTTAAAAGCAAGAGACGCATATCTAAAATATAAAAGTAGAAGATGAAAAAGTTCTTTGTTAATGAATTTACCTCAAACTCAATTCTGTAACTACTGACTAAAATATCTGCTCTTAAAAGTAAAAAGGTCATATACTATACCTGGTACAAGAATATTTATTCAGAATAATTAAATATAAAACAAATTAAAAAGAAAAAATAAAAGTAAGGTTTTTATGACTTACCTATTTATTTTATATTAAAATTTAATGTTCTAAATATGCAAAGTTGACATATAAAAGAATTACAGATTCCTGGTTTAAAGGCAACTGAATAGCCACACTAAAAAAATTAAAATTAATTCTTACATATAGGCACAAACTCCAGATGGTTCAAAAGGTGCAAAGCACAATTTAAGGGGAGGAACTAGTGAATACAACTGATCAAATTATATTGTTGGATTTTGTGCACATACAAATAGACAACAACAAATCCCACTATTATGTATATTTATAATACACAGCAATGCTATGAAGGTACCATTATTCTCCCTTTACAAAGAGGCTAAAGTACAGCAAAGATAAGTAACTTGCCCAAATTCAAGCATGGAATTACTGATGGAGCTGGGAGATGAATCACAGTCATCTATTTCTAGAGCTCATTCTCTTCAATAATGCACTGTTTCCCCTGGTAAATGGTATGTTCAAGATAAACTACACAAAAATCAAGAACTATTCTGTATACCACAAATGACAAGTTGAAGAGTACACAGAAAGAGCTGATAAAGAATAGCACCATTTAATGACTGCAGCTATTTGTCTATGTATCTCCTTCCACTTCTCTGGGAATCTCCTGTGGGAGTAGCCCTTGATATTCTCAACAATGTGGTTCACATCTAGTTCAGAATCTCTGGTGCATAGTAGACAAATGGTAATGAAAACTCAGTGAATTTGGGAAACACACCTGTAATTAGTAGAAGAATCATAAATTGAAATTTCAAAAACTCGGTACTTCTGGAAATGAGACCTTAAATCAGCCTAAAATAAGAAAAATAAAAGTTGTTGAAAGGTAGAGAAACAAAATAATCATAATATGAGTAACCGATAAACTTAAAAATGAAGCCTCAAAGAGAAATCCTGGCATACCTCAGACACCGAAGGGCAGAGACCACCAACATGTATCAGAAAACATTTATCTCTTCGTAAGGGTTCAACATTCTTCATTTCTGCTTATATAAAGACATAATATGCAACAGAAATGACACTGACATTTTAAAATATTTCATGTTCCCCTCCCCAATCACAAAGCTTATTTTAAATTTAGGAGCAAATATCAGCACTCGCTTGAAGACAAGAGCCTTATGAAGTATAACTTTTAAGATTTCTGGGCCTTAATCACATCATCTTAGAGATTGGATTAACTGATTACGTCCTCTGGAATTCAAAAATATATCAGTTACATCACAACTAAGAAAAATATCATTTATCTCTTGGTTCACAAGTTACTTCTAGAATAGTCCTTTGCTGGAGGGATAGCACACCAAAAATACTTTTATATATCAGGTAAGTATCAACAGCAGATACTTGTGATAATGGCAAGGGCCCACAAGAAAAGAAAGAAAGAAATAACTTGAGCTACATAGCATGATTGTGGAAATAACAAAACTAGGGTTAAATTTCAGATGTTTTCTTGTTTGATAAAAATACTCCAAATTCTTAGACTATGGTCTCTTGTTAAGAGAATCTGGTTTGAAATAAAAAAGGCCTCCATGAATTCAGATTCAAGTGACTATCAACTCCCAAACCTGGCACACATCATTTCACGTAATTCTCACAATTACCTTGTGAGGTAGTTATTGCTATGTTAATTTTACAGATGAGGATACTGAGGTCTCAAGAGTACTGATCACAAATCTAATAAGTTGTGGTGTTGAATTCAGGCATAGTTCCTTCATCTCTGGGTAATAACCTTTTCTTTAACTTACTTCTTTTATTAATCTGAGTGTATAACAATGTATTCTAAAGAAAAACAGTGATAACATTTATTTTTATAATTTAGATTTTTGCAGTGGAGTGAGAAAAGTAAAAAGCTATGGCATAATAAAGAAAGTCTGAGCATGAGACTCAGAAGATGTACATTCTACCTACCACCTCACTTTCCACTAGTCCAATAAAAATATTTACTGAAGTTCCTGTGGGTTGAACACTGAATTTTACACTGGAGATAGGCAGTAAGCTAAACAAAAATTCCTGGTATTAGTGAGCTAATATATGAATACAGAAAGGCAGTTAATATGCCAAAGAACCAAAACATGCAGTATATGATAAATGATAATGGAGAAAAATAATGCAAAGACAAAAAATGGTTACAATAAAACTGAATAATATGATGCCCTTTATTTTAAGTTGTAGGTGTGTTAAATATATGTACAATAAGCACATTAAAAAATGGTCACTAAAATATTCAGAGTGGTTATTACAGATTTGAGAAACTCAAGTGAAAGTAATTATTTTGGTACTGGGGATTGAATCCAGAGGCATTCTACCACCAAGACTCTTTTTGAGATAGGTTCTCCCTAAGTTGTCAAAGCCAGCCTTGAACTTGAGATCCTATTGCCTTAGCCTCTCAATTGCTGGGATAAGAAGTGTGTGTACCACCATACCTGGTGAATTTTCTTACACTTTCATATTTTATTAAAAATCTTAGAGCTGGACTGTAGCTCAGTGGTGGAGCGCTTGCCTCCCAGGTGAGAGGCCCTGGGTTCGATACTCAGCACCACATAAAAATAAAGATTTTGTGTCCATCTACAACTAAAAAAAGAATATTAAAAAAATCTTAATAAGCATTATTTCTAAAAGTAGGGAAAAAAACCAATAAAACCATACTGTTATGGAAAAAAAAAAAAACACCAAAGAAGTAGATAGGAAAAATAAAGGAAGGTAGCATAAACATCATCAGAATGACAGAAGGCAATAATCATGGATACTAAAGAAAAGCCAATTATAAGCAATTAAGGACTATATAAAGATGAAAACATCCCTTAAGTAGTTATTATTAAAGTAAGGAAAAGCAATGGTGTTCATCTCTAATTTGATAGACTGGTACTGGTTGACTGATGGAAACTGGGAAGCTGGTTTGATTCACCAGGTATCCTCCCCTGGAAGATACCTGCCAAAGGTTCAGAAGAAAAGGATGCCCTGAAGGAGTACTGATGGGTGGCCTTCAGTAGGAGGGAGAGAATGGCATAGTTCTACCTGCTAACTAAATTCTTGATTTAAACTTTAAGTAGTTCTCTGAAAAAGGAGTGCCCTTTTTTGTTTGGTACTGCAACTGAACCCTTGGGGGCTTCACCACTGAGCCACATTCCAAGCCCTTTCAAAAAAAATAGTTTTAGTTGTAGACAAACACAATACCTGTATTTTATTTATTTTTATGTGGTGCTGAGGATTAAACGCAGTGCCTCACACATGCTAGGCAAGCGCTCTACCACTGACCTACAGCCCCAGCCCTCCTAGCCCTTTTTATTTTGAGATAGAGTCTTGTGAAGTTGCTTAGGGCTTTACTAAGTTGCTGAGTCTGGCCTTGAAACAGATAACTCCTGCCTTACCTCCAGAATTGCAGGGATATAGGTGTAAACCATCATGCCTGGCAGAAAGGAACATTTAATACTGATTTAATCTTTTGAAAAAATGATCTCCAACTGGCTACTTTTCTTTTATATAAGAAAAGCCACCAAATGAAACAAAATATTATTTCAGTCTCCCAATAAAACAAAATAGGTAAGCACTATTTTCAAACAAACTAGTTAGAATTTCTCAGTCAACTATTAAGAACAAACCTTGTGTAAACTTTGGATTCCATTTGTCGTGTTCAATTTGGTTTTCTTGTATTCCTGAGAAGTCAGCTCCTGTCAGGTTCTCTTTAGCATCAAACCAGTCTTCACTGATTTCACGGTAATTTCTGTACTCTTAAGATATTAAATATAATGAACTATGAATTATGAATAATGTTTAACCCTATGAAAAGTTATCTAAAAATATAAATCAGAATGTTGATGACTACCAGTTTTATGTATAAATCCAATGGTTAAAATTAGTAAAATAAGAGAACCAAGCACAAATATTTTGAGAAAGGCTTTCAGCAGTCCTGAATAACATTCTTCTTAATCTGATTTGCTTCCTAAATTTTCTTTAACACTGATTCATAGCTTATTAAAAGCCTTACTTTTTTGAGTTGTCCTTTACTGAAGAAAAGATGATCTTATATAATAGAATGAAAGTAACATCAGGCTGGGGTTGTGGGTCAGTGTAGAGAGCTCACCTAGCACGTGTGAGGCCCTGGGTTCGATCCTCAGCACCACATACAATAAATAAAATAAAAGTATTGTGTCCAACTACAACTAAAAAATAAATATTTTAAAAAACATTTCTAAAGGAAGTAAGAATGCTGCAACTCTTTATTTCATTAAAATTAATGATCTTTTTGGAAGATCAAAATCTTTTAGAGGAAAAAAGTAATGAATAGTAAGAATATTTTAAACATTATTGTTTTCTGGCAATAAGACAATACATTATTATACTGACCTTTATCATCAAGTTTCAGTTGACTAAAGCCTACATTTATATCACCATTTTTAAAACTGTCTTTCTCAGGTGTTGGATCTTGTGTAGGATGACTACTTTCAGATAATAAAGACATCTGAGGATTAAGATAATAAAAATAATATGGATTAACAATTATTATTCTCTTAGTATACGATAGGCACTCTGCATAAGCATTATTTATCCCTCCCAATAATGAAGGTTACAAGAGAAAAAAATCATTATCAATCTGACTTACAGAAGAGAAAACTGAATCTAAGTTGTTGGTTTATGTCAGACATTTAACAAGAATTAGTATTTGAAGCCAGTCTATATACAGTGACTATGTGCCAATATGACTATTATTGGGCAATGATGGCATAGACACACAAGAAGCATTTGACATGATTTTTGAAAAAAATATATATAAATATTTATTATGTTAACTTTATATATTTAATTTAGAGTATGTGCTTATGTATACCTTCCATTTATGAGAAGTAAAATTTCTTTCCCATTATGTAATAGTGAAATTGTTTTTATACTTACTTAAAGAGAGAGTAATCAAAGTAACTAACATAGGTAAAATATGGCTATGGTAAATTGTGAAAATAGTACATTAGTAGTTAAAATTTGGAAACAATACACTACACCGGCTTTCACAAATAACCAGTTAAAATGGAATTCCAACTTAAAAGACATATTGCTTTAAAATCAAAACCACGATTATAAAAATAATGTTACATTTTTTTTGCATATTGTACTTTTTTTGTGTGTGTGCCATGCTAGGGACTGCTGAATCCTAAAGGGATCATGTTTTTCCTGAGATAGTCTAGGTTTGTATCTATCATCACACTCAGTTATTAACATTATTTTCTTTTAACCCCAAAGGTTCCAGGTTTGAAGCCAGGTATAGTGGCATATGCCTGAAATTCAAGCTACTCAGGACGCAGTTAGATCAAAGTTCAAGACCAGCCCAGGCAATTATACTGTCTCAAAATAAAACAGAAAGGGCTAGGGATGTAGCTCAATGGTAGAGCACTTGTCTAGCAATTGCGAGGCCCTGGGTTCAATCCCCAGTATTGCCTTAAAAAATAAAACCCCAGGTTTGGTAATCACATGGTCACTCTACTCATCATGCTGACATCTTGATCAGGACTGGACCTAAATACAACATTATTTTCCTTCCAATTGGTTATATGACTCAAATGGTAATACACAAAGTAAGCCAGTTGAATAAAAAGTAGAATGTGAGGGTTTCTGAAAGTTACAATTTACTTAGGACATAAAATTAAAATATTTATCTTGATGAACTTTAAATAAAATAATCTCACTTGAGAGAGTGTCTTTTTTAGGGCTGGAGAAACATCAACATCAGGTGCACTTTGATTATCTAGTTCCGAATCTGCTCCTGAAAAGCTAAACAGATAGGCATCATTAAAGGATTTATCCATGTTCCAAAAGGGGACCAAAACAGAGAAGCCCAAGTTAACTGAATTAAGCAGTTGTAAGATCAAAGAAATTCTAAATTAGATGAATTATAACTTACTCATGTGATTCTTCTTTTACCAACTGGAAACAGAAAAAAGGAGAGAAAAAAACTTTTGTTTAAATGTATTCCGTCTAAATAAAGTATAATTTTTATTCTTAAAACATATATACATACCCTGGAAGCAAAAGTAGAGAAGGCAGACAATAATTTTGATTCTACTGACAGTGGGGGCAGCTCTTCCAGTAGTATGCCCTTGTGTATTTTTTCTTTCAAATTCATATATCTAACTTTTAAGTCTTCCAAAACAGATAGTAGTGCTGACCCTAATTCTTTCTTAGCAGAATTACTTGGCAAATTCCTGTTGAAAGGTAAGTTCACAAAAATAAATTGTTTAGGCCCAAATCATCCATTTAACACTAATATTATTCACTTAGTTCTAACTCTACTAGATTTTAAAATTTTAACTGTTGAGTAAAAAAAAAAAAATGAACCACAATAGATGTGTTTTTTCTTTTTTCTACCAGGGATTAAACCCAGGGGCACTTAACCATGGAGCCACATCCCTAACCCTTTTTATTTTTTGAAAACAGGATGTTGTTAAGTTTCTTAGAGCCTTGCTAAGTTGCAGAGGCTGGCTCTGAACTTGTGATCCTCCTGCCTCAGCCTCCTGAGCTGCTGGGATTACAGGAGTGTACTACCATGCTTGGCTAGACCAGATGTGTTTTTTTTTCCCTAGGATCAGTACAAGCAACCCTTCCCTTAATAATCTAGAGAATGTGGTAGAATGTCACACAAAACCCTCTCAATGACTGCATCCTTACTTGGAGTTCATAAAGAAAAACTGAACCTATCTTTTCCCTGGATTCAGCATTCCAACAGTGCACTTGTTACCCATCCATAAAACTCATAAGTATTATTTTTAAATTCTTATTACCCCAAGATAGCTAATAAACCCAGTTACAATCTACCTCTTATTTTGCCCTTCAAAAATGAAAAATAAATTTTCTAAAATAAATTTAAAGCTAGTGATAAATTTCTAAGAAAATACAGACTTAAAATTAATAAACACCTATTTAATCCTTCTCTGTTTTCCATTATAAATTTGTAAATATCACAACAATGGTGATGACACATCTGATAGTGAACATTTAAAAGGTGCATCTCTGCTTTTATGGCTCTCTGCATTATATTCTGACAGCACTTTGATGGCAAATTCTTCTCCATCTCTTTAGAAAGTTGAAATTCCCTTTAAAATAAAAGACAGAATCAGATAAGATTCCATTTCTCTACAGTAATTATATGCCTCTAAAAAAAGATTTAAAATTTCTTACATTTCCTTGTCAAGTTTTAGATAATTCCTACTAAAGACAGAGAGGCTACAGGGACAAAAACAAGGACATCAAGAGTCAAAGCTAATCATATTCTAAGAGTCAAGGAAGTAAACAATTTGCAAATTTTTACTTTCTTTTACTAAAAAAAGATTCCAACCTAAGACCAGGACTTCACTTATCCAGAATCAATGGATTGCCTCCCCCCCCCCCAGCTTAAATCAAATTTTGGCCAAGATTTTTTAAAAGTTAATGAGCATTCTGGATTGAAATTGTTCTTAAATATATTACTTTAATAGAAAATAAACACAATGTATATTTTTCTTAGCAATTAAGGATCCTTAATATAAGCAAATTGTCTACTGTGATATCAAACCAAAAAGTTCCAAGTAACTAAACTACACTTTTTTTCAATGCTGACAGTTTTCAGACATTTTGTTACTAGTTGCCACTTCCAGCTGTCCTCGAAGCCAATTCTTGTATTTACTTTAGTTGAGATACCAAATTCAACTCATTAGAAGAATGAAAAATTAAATGACTTCAGAGCATAGTAATTAACTTGGCCTTTCTCTCTTTCCCATCCCACTTCCTGGTTCTCCACTGTGTTAAGTAGTAAGTGCAAAGTAATTATATGATGAATTAAGATTAAAATACTTTAGTGAGTGTAGCTATTAACTCCTTTAAATTTATGACATTTGATTCAAAAGGTGCTATTTTGTTTTGGTTTATAGGGGAATAATAAGAAAAACCAGAAAATTAAATCAATGTGGATTTAGTCTGAATAAGGAAACATAAATATGAGTTTTGGAAGGAACTATCAAGACTAAATTCTCATTAAGTAAAGAGTTTTAATATCTCATACTGTTTCAATATTATTCATTAGCAGACAAATGGCTAAGATAGGTAATTTATTAAAAGTTCCTTTTAGATATAATTCTATATGGCTAAGTATGATACACAGAAAGCAAATACTACTTTAGACTTTTTTCACGTTTAAGACTACAAGTTATACATCTGACCTACCTCTCAGGATGTTTCTTTAAGTCTATGATATCCAATGTTTTTCTTACTTCCATGGAATCCTAAAAACATAATTTAAAATTAAATTATAAAGATATGACAAACAAATCATGTTATATCTGGAGTTTCAAACTGATAAAATGTAAAACTAAACTTCAAAAGGTCTTTGTGGCAATAGCTACCCCCAAATAACAGGGCTGGAGGCAATTTACCTACTCATTCCCTTCACATTTTTTCACAAAGGCCTCAATATGACATAATGAATGAACCACCAACATTTATATTAGCATGTGCTTTATAAGGTAAAATTTATACAGTAAAATAAAATTTTATTATCATACTGATTTTACCTTATTTAGGAAATTTCCATCTGGCTTTAAACCATCAACTGAGAGAGATCTTCCTGATCCTTTTGTCAAAACCACCTGTGTGTCTACACAATCTTGACTGCATGACCAGTCTGTATTACAAGCCACACTTGTTTGTTTTCCACTCTGCCATCCGCCAGGCCATTGTTTATTCATCATTGTTATCTCTGTGTTGCTTGATGTAGATACTACAGGAGATCTTGCACTTGTTGCCCTGCTGGTTGTGAAACAAGCCCTAAAATCAGTGCTAACATCCACTGTCTGATTAACTGTGACTGTACAACTTGCTGCATCTGACACTGATTTAGGACATGTTCCTTTCCTATCAGGAGAGCATATTTTATTTGTAGTACTGTTGCTAACAACTTTTAGGGAACTATCCTTTTCCACTGCCTGATTATCTTTGACTGCAATTCTTGGTAGTGTAACAGAGAAACCCAAGGCTGGGTCAAGGTTGCTTTGTAGGCTTTTATAATGTGAATACCCACAGGCAGAAATGACTGAGTCATCAAAAACAGAGGCCCAGGGAGTCTGGCAACCTTTACAGGATTGGAGTAAAGACTCCAAAGCTTTGTTCTGAGGTAACTTGGTAGGATTTTCAAGATGCTGTGATACTTTGTTTTCAACAATTGTATTTCCACAAAGATCTTTACTTTCAGGTATTTGAGATTTCATTTTCTCAGTATAAATCTTAGTTTTGAGTGTTTTTTGAGGATTCAAGAAACCACTCTTAGGTTGAGATTCTTGGTTTCCAAGAGAATTGTTTCTTTGTAAAAGATGATCAAATACCGTGTGGTACATTAAACTAGTCTCTTGTTCCTTCCACTTTTCATGCTTTGATTCATGATTTTCTTTTATCATGACAGAATTCTGAAATTGAGAGACATGAGGCGAATATTCTTGTGCAAAAACATTAAGTGAATCCAAAGAAATAATAGAACTACTTTCCAACTTAACATGATTATCTTCTATATTGCTAACACATTTAACTTCATAACCTGAATTTCTTAATTCAACAACTTCCAGATTAGATATACTTAATGTTTTGGCTCCATCAAAAGATAAATGGTTACTTATATATTCTTGTTCTTCTGCACTGTGATATTCCTGCTGTGAGTCTTCATCTATATCATACTTTTGCATATCTTCAGCGGTTTCTTTATAGTCATCATCTGAAATCTTGGAGATTTTTTCCAAGCCAACAGTCTTCTTACCTTGATGCTCCAAAATATCAAAAAATATCTCTTCTCTTTTTTGCTTTTCAGGATCTAATTCTGAATTTAAAAGAGCAAGATTTTCATTTAGCTTTGACTCTGAATAATGTATAGAGTATGTCTCATTCAAAAAAGCATAGTCAATACTGTCTTCAAACTCACTTGACTGGGAGTGAGTACTCCCTACATTGGTATCTTGACTTGCTGAAAAATATGACTCAAATAAATCTGTTTTTTCAATACTGTTGATTTCTTTGTTGGCTCCTTGCTTTAGCGTATTCCACTCATCAACAGGAAGAATAGATTTGACTTTATTACAACCGTTGGAATAAAATAATAAATTTTCTTTCTTAGAAGATATACCTGTCAAAAAAAGAACAAAATGTAAAAATTTTGAATTCAACATTACTGAATCTAAACACTAGAAAAAACCTTAGACATGATTTGGTCCAAGCTCTTCCCAAAGTAGGAATGTTTTATATTATCCATGACAAATAACCCTGTGGTAGTTGATACAAACTGAACTCCAATCCCCAATGTGGTGGTATTTTGAAGATGAGACCTTTGGAGGTAACGAGATTTAATCAGTACCCTCATGATAGGATTAATGCCCCTTTAAGAGACAGAGAGTCTACTTCCTCTTTCTTTCATGTGAGAAGACACATCATGTGAGGACACCATAGAATACTGTCTTCAAGCCAGGAAGAGATGCCTCATCAGACCCTGACCATGGTGATACCTTCATTTCAGATTTCTAGCACTCAGAACTATGAGAAAATACATTTCGGTCACACTTCTCAGATTAAAAATTTTTATGATGTTAGGACAATTCAAGCCAACAGAGAAACCACAATTCTCCTTGAATTCTTTAAGGGGCAAGGAGTTTTCTATTTATAGGGCAGCCACTGTTTGTTAAAAACTTTTTTCTCATAAATTTATTTAATACATTTTTGGGTACCTCCTGGTGCCAGTCCCGAGCACCTTATTGCTGCAGTCTGGCTGGGCGCAAATCACGAGCCATTCAAGCAGGAACAAACTTTATTTCCGAACTCCCGCAAATGCCATGCATGCAACCTTCTCCTGGGACACACCACACACCAACCGGAAAATCCCTCCTCCGGCACTTCCCCAACCAACACGAACTCCCCAGGAATCCCTGAGAGAACTCCAAAGTAGAGCGAGTCCAAAGTAGCCGGCACCTGAGGGGGACAGCAGGGGTCTAATATACAATTGAATACACAGCTTAACATAACCATCATCATCTCAATGGCTTGCTGACGTCACCTCTCAACCATTCCATTCGGCTATGGCTCTCAGCATCTCCCCCCTTCTGTTTAATTAAACACCAAGCATGTGGTTAAGGGACCGTGCCTGTTTTAGGTTGTCCAATTCTACATATGGTCCTTACCCATCATCGGATGAGCTGACCTCAAGGCATCAGCCTCCTGTCTTAGGTTGGTACCATTGCAATTGGATCATACCCGTCATTGACTATTGGTTCAGCATACAGCCATACTTGTGGATAGGCCTTTGCACCAGTGTGGGGGGGTGAGGTTCTTTGCCTCACCTCTGTTGGCCCCCAAATTTGGCCTTGGTGCCAGTGGGGGGGGGTGAGGTTCTTTGCCTCACCTCTGTTGGCCCCCAAATTTGGCCTTGGTGCCAGTGTGGGGGGTGAAGTTCTTTGTCTCGCCTCTGTTGGCCCCCAAATTTTAGCTGAAACGACCATCACAAGCAGAAGGGAGGAGGATACAGAAATGCCACAACACCAAGCCAATTGACGGCTCCTCTGGAAAAATTGTACCACTGGTGACACCATCAGCAAAGATACTCCAGCACTACCACAATTTGCTGCACCAACAGATAGTTCACAATGCATACAAGTGATAGTCCAGGCAAGTTCTGCAAGCAGTTCAAAGCAGAGGAATCTATTAATATGTTCATTTCCTCCCAAAGTAAATCGACTCCTTGATTGAGCATCACTTGTTGAGTTACATTATTCATTGATGCATCAGTTTATACTGTTTGTTGTGATAGCTATCACAGAAGCTGTAGTTTGGTTTTATCTTTGTCTTCACCGGCACTGGGATGAAGATAGGAATTCTGGCAATGATGGCTAAAAAAAAAAATTATATAACATTCCAGAAGGCACTAAAAGAAAGCAATTTTCTAAACAATTTAGTATCCTGAATAGAATTAGATATAATGAAAAGGAAAGGTGAAAGTAAACAAACAGATCTGTTAACCTCCTTATTTGTTCACATATTAAAACAATCCTCAACAGCTGTTTACCCAATTTAAATTAAACCATTTAAATCACGTGAATAAAAAAAATATTTGGATCCATTTTTTCATGAGCGCTCCTCATATATGATATATGGACATACGCACATACAGACATACAACACAAAACACAAGTGTGCACACATAACATAAGCACATAAGGCAATAGTAAAGGCCTTGTAGCTTTTCACAGGTGAAATCTCCATTGCAATGTTTAAAAACTCCACAGTCAAAAAATAAAACTGATCAGAAGAACATTAACCTAGGTCTGTATGAGCTCAAAAAATAAAATAGTACTTTATGATGTGGGAAAGGGCAATAATAAAATAGATATTGAAAAAGACATCCTGGTTACCACCTGGGTTTGACTTTTTTTTGGATATCCCAAAACTTGCATAATGGGTCTGAAGGTATTCCCACAAGCAAGCCCCAAGGTTTTTTTACATTTGAAATAGGCTTTAATGGTGTTCATTATCCATTAGCCTCCAGGTGTGGGAGAACCACTGTTGCAGATGTAAGAATAGACAAGCTGGAGCTCTGGATATCAGCTGTTATGGATTTGAGTCAAATTATCTTCTTTTTGGTCTGTAGAAATCACTTTGGTTAGTCTCTCTGGAATCCAAATCGGCTGCTGTTCTCCCTGTGGAAACAACACACAAACAGAACCCCGATTCCAGACAATCACTGGGTCAGGACCTTTCCATTGTCCTGTTAAAATATCCTTCCAAAGTACCTTAGGCTTATGTACATTTTTTGGATACATATGCCTTTCTGCAGCACTAAGCCCTGATGAATCCAAATTTAAAAAGTTTAGAGTAAAAAGGGTTATTTTAAGTTTATCTTTGGGGGATATATACCCCTTTCCAATTCCCTCTTTTTGCTTTAATAAGTACATGTTAAAAGTTTGATGAGTTCTTTCAATTATGCCTTGTCCTTGTGGATTGTATGGGATTCCTGTTATATGAGTAATGCTAAATGATGAGCAAAATTGTTTAAAAGAGGTAGAAGTATAACCAGGACCATTATCTGTTTTTAACTGTTTTGGAACGCCCACAGTGGCAAAATTTTGTAAGCAATGAGCTATAATATCTTTGGTTTTTTTATTTATTAGATATTTTTATAATATCTTTTAGTTTTTTCTCCGGCATGAAGGGAGCCCATCAAAAATCCGGAAGAAGTATCAACTGTAACATGCAAATATTTTAATTTTCCAAATTCTGGCAAGTGTGTGACATCCATCTGCCAAATATGGTTAGGTATCAGTCCTCTAGGATTGACTCCAAGATTAACTTGTGGTAAAAAGGTCACACAATTTTGACATTGTTTTTGTCTAGCTTGTTCCTTAGTTATTTTAAAATGCTTTTGTAAATTATTAGCATTGACATGGAACCTTTTAGGAAAATTTGTAGCTTCTTCTAGTGTAGAGAAAATATGTATGTCATGTGTAGTTTTATCTGCTAAATCATTGTCCAAACTAAGGGCTCCAGGCAATCCTGTATGTGCCCTGATATGTCCTATAAAGAATGGATCTTTTCTGTCCCAGATTAGACTTTGTATAGTGGAAAACAAAGAGAAAACAGTAGAGGAAGGAGAAATCCTACCAGCATCTTCAAGGGATACTATAGCATTAACTATATACTGACTATCAGAAAATAAATTAAATACAGAATCTTTAAACATCACAAAGCTTGTAATACTGCATTAAGCTCTACCTTTTGAGCTGATTGTTTGGGTACTAAAAATGTAAAAGTTTGATCAGGGGTAACTACTGCTGCTGTACCATTATTTGACCCATCAGTGAATATATTTGGAGCATTCATGATAGGTGTTTTTCTTGTCATTTTTGGAAAAACTACAGGATGCGAAGACCAAAAAGACAACAAAGGGTTAGATGGTAAGTGGTTATCAAAGGAAACATTAGATTTACACATGATTATTGCCCAAGTATTTAACTCATTAGCTAACTCATCAATTTGATCCATAGTATATGGAGTAATAATTTTATTGGGAGAAATTCCAAACACTCCCTTTGCTGCTTTTATTCCTTTGAGTATTAATTGTCCTACAGCCTCAGGATACCTAGTAAGAATAGTGTTAGGAGAATAAGATAAATGTATCCACAATAATGGACCTTCTTGCCAAAATACTCCTGTAGGAATATTTTTTGTTGGTAGTACAATAAATAATAAAGGCAAACATATCAATTCTATCCAAATGCATATTTTCCATATATGGTTCAATAATTTTTAATGCCTTTCTTGCTTCCGGCGTTAACATTCGGGGTGAATTTGGATCTGATGGACCTTTTAGGATATCAAATAAAGGTCCCAACTCTCCTGTTGGTATGCCTAGATAAGGCCTTATCCAATTTATGTCTCCTAATAACTTTTGAAAGTCGTTAAGTGATTTGAGTTGATCTTCTCGTATTTGAATTTTTGGTGGACGGACCATGGTTGAGGATAATAGAACTCCTAAATAATTAATTGGAAAATTTAATTGTACTTTATCTATTGCTATCTCTAGATTATAATTTTTTAATAAATTTGTAAGTGTGGCATAACATTCTAGCAATGTGTTTTTATCTTTATGTGCTAATAATACATCATCCATATAGTGAAATATTTGTATTTCAGGATTTTGATTTCTAAGTGGCTGGATTGCTTTGTTAACATAAATTTGACACATAGTTGGGATGTTAGCCATCCCTTGAGGGAGTACTTTCCATTCATAGCTCTGATCAGGAGCTTCATGATTCAGTGCAGGGATAGTAAATGCAAAATGTGGACTATCCTCAGGATGAATTGGAATTGAAAAAAAAAACAATCTTTAATATCTATAGCTAAAACATACCAGGTTTTTGGCAAAGCAGACAATTGGGGAATCCCCGATTGAGCAGGTTCCATAATAACCATCTCATTATTAATGGCTCTTAAATCTTGCAATAATCTCCATTTACCAGATTTCTTTTTGATGACAAAAATGGGAGTATTATGGGGAGATATGGAAGGTTGTATATGTCCCTCTGCTAATTGTTGTTTGACCAGGTCATGGGCTACTTGTATCTTTTCTTTAGTCAGGGGCCA